GCTTCAGTCTTGCAGAAGTGTCTGGTTGAGCCAGTGAAAATCATTGAGCGAAATGATTATTAATAACCAATGATTTGGGGAGATTCAGAGTTCCCCCTTTTTCTATTATCCTCATTTCAAGACCTCAGTCTTAGATGGTTGAGCTAACCTTCTCTATCTGACCCCACCCAACCTTACAAGGAATCTCTGTAATCTGTAGTCTAAGGTGAATTCCATTCAATCAAACTTGGGTGGAGATAGAGCCTTTTGTCTAGAATGCCCAAGGCTGGAGGTGGTCTGGGTATAGGGATTATCTCTTCCTCGAAAAGTGACCAGTCACTCTCAGCCCCTCTTAGGAGTGAGCTTACTTCTCTTTGTAAAGGCCACCTCTCATGTTAACCAATCAGAGCTGAATGCTGTCTTGTCCAAGGGCATATAAACCTCAAAAAGTGGCCATGCTTGCTCTGTGACCAATGAAAGGATAAGAAGTCCTTTTTGTCAATCATATGCTGGCTGTGATTAATAAAACCGGTTATAATTTACCCCAAAACTTTGTCTCTAGAAATTATTTTATTCTCCACATCATTAATCTTCATGGATGATATTTTGTGTTTTCTATAATTGATTATTTCTATCAGAATCAGAGCTCAAAGGGACCCTAGAGATCATCTAGTTCAATAACAGCAGTTACTTGCTCAAGGTAAGAGATTAAGGTCAGGATTCGAACCTAGATCCTCTGACTTGTAATAGCAGCTCCTGATTCCAAATCTACTGTTTTTTTTCCCACTAGACTCTGATTTTCTTTCAGTTTTCTCTTCCTTTACTTTTCAGGTCTGTCGTAGCACTTAGGTCTTGCTGGAATGTCTTGGCTGTTTGCCCAGAGTTTGAACAACAGTAGGTGGAGACCGGAACTGTTAGCGGTGAGCTCTCACTCAGGAATGTGCTTCCTTAAACAGTGTGCTCAGGCTTGAGCTCTGAAGCTTTCAAGTAGAAATGTAAAATATAGTTGTTCAATCTAGTTTTTGATATATGTGATTGAAAGGTTGAGATAAAGGCTTTTCAATTAACAGAAAGTAAGGGATGCATTCATGCTGTTCAGTATTTTTAATTTTGGAGGAGGCATCTTCTATAAAAGGTTTTCAAAATCTGGTCCAGAAACCCGTGATGGTCCAAAAGACTTGCAGTTTATGAGATCAGAACTATTGTCATAATAAGATTTAAACATTTCTAATATTTTAAGTATTGATTTAACCCATATAAACAAAACTCTTTAGGTATGGGGGATAACCCACATTTTTTTAAGAATGTAAAGAAAAAAAAGAATGTAAAGGGGTCCTGAGATCAAAAGTTTGAGAAGCAATGTTAGGTACAATATTAAGTGATAAATAATATAATTAAGAAAAGATAATATAAAAAATAATTTAAGTTCTCTACTATTGTTTTTATCACTTAAATTTTAACGAGAAAAAAAATTATATATAGTAATGGTTTTCTCCTTATTTTGATGGAGCCCTGGCCTCAGTATCTCTTCCCAGGTACTTTCTGACCATCTCTACCCCCACTGGAAACTTGGACTTGACTCCTTGGTTTCCTAGCTCTGATATTAGCTTTTGCTTTATGTGGGTGACTGTGGTCCAGGCATCTCCTCATTATATCTGAATTCCCTTCCCCCTCCTCTCCTGCTTTTCAGCACCCCTTTATGTATTAGAATGTAAGCTCCTTTTGGGTAGGACTGGCTTTTGAAAATCCATCAACCCAAGAACTTAAGAGTAGAATTGTAGAGTTAGAGAGCTGTTTAGGTCACTTATTAGTTAAGTGCTCAGGGTCAGATAGCCTAAGGCTAACTGTGGGGCCCTCATGCAGTCCACTAAGCCACAGTGCTTCTCATCTTAAATAGATTATTTTAGTAGTGATACTGGAGGCACAAGTGATTCAGAAGCATGAAAAATGAATCATATATCAGAAAACCTAATTCTTTTCTCAGCTATACCATTTACTAGCTGTGCTACTTTGGATAAAATAACTTAATGTCTTTTAATCTCAGGTTTTCTTATATCTAAAATGGAAATAATGCCTGGTCCAATGTAATTATAGCAAAGACCACTCAGTTCCTTCTGCTTTTTTAAAAAAGACTAACACTTTAAAATTCTGTCTCTTTAGAAGGAAAGTGATTTCATCAGCCTATATATCATCCAATGTGCAGGTGATAACAGCAACATTCAGAGTGCTTCAATAACTTTCTACCACTCAAAACATTCTTTAAAAAGAACAAGTTTTTGCTTGAGGTAGCTGATATTTTTTGGTAGCCAAGTTTTATATTTAACAGTTTCAACAATGGTAAAATGCCAAATAAACATAGTATTATTAGATTCAAATTTATAGCAAGTCTTTCTCTAAATTTCTATGGCTAAAATAGTTTAAAGCTTGAAAACATGGAGGCAACCTTTGCTCATGAAAACTCTATTCCCCCAAAAGATCTAATTTTTTTAATAGCAGTTTTTATTTTATTTTAAATTTACAGAATAAAACAAGCACTTCCATAACATAGTATAATAAAAAAGATGATTGTACATGAAACAGCAAATCTATTATGCACAACTTGCTATTCCTTTCAAATATACAACAAAATTATCATGTAAACTTTTCCCCCCCTTCTCCTACCCCCTTCACCCCGCCTTTCAAATGAAGAAATGCTGTGGGTTTCTGGCTGGGGAAGAAGTAGCAGCATCAGATTTCACCACCTGGCTCTCACGTAGGTGTGAACATATTTTATTGCAGTTTGTTTTATCTATTTTTGTATATTCTTTCCTGATCTTAAATGTATTAGTATTGGAGATGAAATGGATCAGATTACAACCTTGTGAGCTTTGAAAAGTGGGGAAGCCCATGAAAGGTCCCCTCTGCAACTGGAGCTGGTAGCAGTAGCAACTGAGTCTGGTGTGAAACAAATTCTGAGGCTTAAAGATCTGCAAGACCCAGCAAAACCAACCTAGTAAAATCAAGCCCCAACTTAAAACACTGTGTAAGCAAAGTCCTGAAGTATATTTGTTCAGAGGGAATGTTTTGTAGCAAACAGTTTAAATCTGAGTTCACTCTTCCTAGGAACTAAAACATGTGGAGGTATGTTCTCAATATGGAATGTTGTTTTACTTTGGTCCTTTGCATAATTTCTCACTAAATACCCTTTTATAAAAGCTAATTAATATTAAGAGGTTAATTGATATTTAGTAAATGGTAACTAGTCAACTGATATTGGGGAAAACACACTAGATGATGTTCAAGAGCTATAATACCAGATAATCCTAACCCCTTGGGGTTTCTCCTAGCAAGAGTGGGGTTGGGGAAGTGAGACACAAGGCTGTACTTATAAGACAATTTGAATTGTTAGACAGAAGTCATTCATGAAGAACTGAAGTGGGGAGGCAGTGTGGTATACTGGAGAGAGACCTGGAATCAGGAAAATCCTGCCTCTGACATCTTCCAGCAAGTCATTTAACCTCCTTCTTTCTACGTCATAGCATTGATGTGGTCTTCCAATGAGAAAATAAATGGGTGCAAAAACCAAAAATAAGGAACGTATTTTAAAAAAGAAACTGAAGGCACTTTGGGAAATTGTCTGTAGTTCCACGTTGGTCCCCTTGGAAGCATCTTTGTAAGGCAGGTGATAGAAATTTGCTCAAACTTCCATAGTAGAAATTATCATATCAAGCCTTTTTTTGTAATGTTTTCTTAGAGAAAATTGTCTATTTAAATTTTTATGTAAAATACTCTTAATAGTCTTAACTTGCTCTTTGGCCCATCCATGATGAGAATGAAGACCTGTCTAAGCAACCAGACTGTTGACATCTCTCTGAAGGGCAGGACAGTTAATATGAAGGGCCCTAGAGGAATCCTGTGAAGGCATTTCAACCATATCACAATGTTGAGCTCAGTCTCCTTGAAAAAAAGAGAAACAAGCTCCAGGTTGACAAGTGGTGGGAAAATCAGAAAAGAATTTGCAATAGTTTTCACAGTCTATGGTTATGTGTAAAACAAGACCCAAGAGGTCACCCTTAGTACAAGATGAGGGTTATGTATGCTCACGTCCTCATCAAGATAAGTCACTGAAATTGTTATGTAAGAGAATGTCTCACTTGTTGAAGCAGAAACTTGAAAAAAATATATCTGAAGAATATGCATGAGACCAAGTATTGATTGTGCTGTTTCTCAAGCCCCAAAAGATAAGTTTAATTCTTGAAGGAAATATAAAAACAAAAACAAAAGAACAACAACAACAAAAAAAAACCAAACCCAAGATATCAGAAAATTTCTGGATGGCATCATTCTTTCTGAGAAAGTCATAGTGCAACAGGCTGAAGAATCTTGACTTCTTGGCATTTGTTTATTTTAAGAAATAGTATATAGTTTCACAGAATGTTTTGCTAATCCAGTTTTGTTCTTGTTCAGTACATGGCCAAGGATGCTTTCTCAATTCTAGACAATCAGCAGAACAATAAATCAAGCACTCATTTGTAGCATTTTGGATTTTTAAGGCATAAATGCTTACAATGAACATTTAACAATTTGTTCTTCAGAGCCAGTTCAACCTGGCTCCAGCACACCCCTAAATATGCCTCTAAAGTAGTAAGATCTCACATCAAAATTTGTGTTCTTACCTTGTACTGATTCAGTTATAGGTTCGAATAGACTGAATAGATGGTTTTCTATTTTGCTTTTTTAATTTTGCCTTGGTAAAATAATGGTTCTTTTTTGTAGTTTTAGTTTGCTTATTTGTTGTCATTGGTTGACATAAACCGGAAGTCACCAATAAGGTAACTTTCCCTCAGCCACTTCGATCATGAAAACAGTCATAAAAACGAGGGGGAGGGAGTGAGCAAAGAGAAGAAAGCAGTCATGTAAGAAATGTTCTGAGGGTAACAACTATATGATAATTACGGGTTTACAACAGAATATCAGCGAGAACAGTTACTGCAGAGTAAACACTGGGGTATATAAAGTGCCTTTGGGTGCTTGAGACTCACCTGATGGCTGTATTTGTGCTGTTCTCTTAGGGTATGTCTTGCTCCGACTTCTTTCCACTTTCTGATCGGGCCGAGGGAGAGGAACAGAAAGATCTCGGCTCATTTGTAAGGCTGTCCTGTCATTTAAAAAGTGACATTTTGATGAGTACAAGCAAAATTTTAAAAAAGTGTTTTAAAGCAAAGATGTGAAATCTGAAGAACAGAGGAGTGAAGGCTGACTTAGCTGTACTTAGATGCTTACATGAAACTACATGGAAGCGGCAACTGTTATTTTACTCCACTAGGACAGTACAAGAAGGAGACTTAAATTCCAGGATTTACATTTGGTACAGCGATAGGCTTCTGGCTGGCAGAGAGGTTTATTAAATGTTAAAAGGAGTCACTGAGTGAGGATTTTATTTCAGGAGAGGTGGAGTTTTAATTCCAGTTCTACAGCTCAAAAAAAAAAAAAGAATTGAGTCTATTTGATTTCTCCCCTGTGAGGCATTTAACTCATTTTTGTTTTCACTTACATGGCAAGTTGCAAAGCATTCCCGACTGTTTTATTCAATGTGCTTTTGTTTTGGCTCTTTCTTTGACCCTATGCCAACGTCATCGGGGCTTGGTATTGAGCCTAGGGAGAGCAAAAGAAATGGCTCTGGAACCTACTTGGAACCATCCTTTAGTGAAGAGTACGAGTAGCAAATGAAATTAATCATCTCACATAATTTCATCATGTAATTAGAATGCTTTATTTTTTTTTTGCTGAAGTTCCAAAAACATTTATCATATTAGCAGATAGCATTTATTTAGTGCTTTAAGGTTTACTAAGTGCTTTACAAATATTCTATCACTTAATCCTTACAACAGCCCTCAAAGGGAGATTCTATTATTAAAATTCCCATTTTAAAGATGAGGAAACTCGGGCATTCAGTGTTTAAGTAACTTGCCCAGGGCTGTACAGCCATTATGTATGGAGCCAAATTTGAACCCAGTTCCTCTTGATTTCAGGTCCAGCATTCTATCCACTGCACCACCTTCAAATCCAGCCATAGATACTTGTTAGCTGTTTGGTCCTGGGGAAGTTAAAATTTAACTTCTATCTCAGTTATTATTTTTACATATTGTCATTATTTTAAAAATTACTCTTTATTCTTTTGAACAAAGTAAAGGGGGGAAGGAAGGAAAAAATAACCAAGAAACCTTACCTATTGGGAAGAAGAACCCCAGCTGATAGTCCCTTACAGTAGTTTTTGAATATTAAGAATTTTTTTGTTTCCACTTAATCTTTTTTTTGGGGGGGCATGGCTTTAAAGGAAATCCTGGCTAAAGGTTAAATGGGTAAAGTTTACAGGAGGATAGTTATTTGGTTTTAATGGCATTTCTCTAAAAGCCTTTTGTTGGATTTAGGAACAAGTTATATTAACTAAGCATGACTTCTATTTACTTATTCGTTTTTAATTTTTTCTTTTTGGCTAGGCAATGGGGTTAAGTGACTTGCCCAGGGTCATACAGCTAGTGAGTGTTATGTGTCTGAGGCCGGATTTGAACTCAGGTTCTCCTAATTCCAGGGCCAGTGCTCTACCCACTGTGCCACCTACCTGCCCCTGGGCATGACTTTTAGATCATGTGTTTTTACTGCAAAGAGAAGTCTGTGAACTTATTGTTTTAAAATATTTTTTTTCTAATTACAAATAAATATACTTTTTTACATTTTTAAAAAAGTTTTGAGTTCCAAATTTCCTCCCTCCTTCCCTCAGCTAATCCCTCCTAAGACAGTAAGCAATTTGATATAGGTTATAGATGTATAATCATGTAACACATATTTCCATATTAGTCATATTTGTGAAAGAAGAAACAGACTAAAAGAAAAAAATCATGAAAGAAATAAAGTGAAAATAGTATGTTTCGGTCTACATTCACACTTCATGAGTTCTTTGGAATTGTCTTGGGTCATCGTATTGCTGAGAAGAATTAAGTCATGCATAGTTGATCATCACACAATGTTGCTGAACTGTGTACAATATTCTCCTGGTTCTGCTCACTTCACTCAGCATCAGACCATACAAGTCTTTCCAGATTTTTCTGAAATCTACCTGCTCATCATTTCTTATAGCACAATAGCATTCCATTACATTCATGTACCACAACTTGTTTAGCCATCCCCCAACTGATAGGCATCCTCTCCATTTCTAATTGTTTGCCACCACAGCAAAAGCTGCTATAAATATTTTTGTATATGTAGGTCCTTTTACCTTTTTTATGATCTGTATGGGACATTAGACTTAGTATTGGATCAAAGAGTGTGCAGAGTTTAATAGTCTTTTGGGCATAGTTCCAAATTGCTCTCCAGAATGGTGAGATCCATTCACAACTCCACTGACAATGCATTAGTGTCCCAATTTTCCCACACCCTTACCAGTATTTATCACTTTCCTTTTCTGTCATATTAGCCAATCTGAGAGGTATTAAGTGGTACTTCAGAATTGTTTTAGTTCGCATTTCTCTACTCAGTAATAATTTAGAACATTTCTTCATATGATTATAAATATCTTGGACCATTTACCAATTGGGGAATGGCTTGTATTCTTATAAATTTAACTCAGTAATATGTTTGAGAAATGAGGCCTTTATCAGAGATAATTGTTGTAAAAATTGTTTCCCAGCTTTCTATTTTCCTTTCAATCTTGGTTGCATTGATTTTCTTTGTGCAAAAACTTTTAAATTCATTATAATAGTTTCATATTTTATATTTTACATTTCTTGATGATCTCTTATCTCTTTTTGTCCTAAATTCTTCCCTTCTCTGTAGATCTAACAGGTAAATTATGCCCCGCTCTCCTAATTTGCTTATGGCATCACCCTGTACCCATTTTGACCTTATCTTGGTATATGGTCTAAGATGTTGGTCTATGTCTAACTTCTGCCATATTGTTTTCTACTTTCCTCAGCAGTTTTTGTCAGATAGTGAGTTCTTATGCCGGAAGCTGGGGTCTTTAGGTTTATCAAACACTAGGTTACTATGACCATTTCTACTGTGTCTTGTGTACCTAATCTATTCCACTGATTTAAAATTTTAGTTCTTAGCCAGTACCAGATAGTTTTGATGATTACCATTTTATAATATAGTTTGAGATTTGGTATGGCTAGACCACTTTCCTTTGCATTTTTTTTCATTAATTCCCTTGATATTCTTGACCTTTTGTTCTTACAGATGAGTTTTGTTATTGTTTTTTTCCTATTATTCCTACATAAAATAATTTTTATTAATTTGACTGGTATGTCACTGAATAAATAAATCACTTTAGATAGAATTGTATTTTATTTTTTCTAATTACACGTAAAGATAATTGGTGTTATGGTGAGCCCTGGGGCCTGGTCCTATGCCAGGGCCATGAGAAGTGTGTGGGGGGGGGCAGGGGTCCTGGCTGCTAACCTGCTGCTGCAACAGGGCAATGGAGCTCAGACCTCATGCTGGCTTGCTGAGGCAGGATCTACCGCCGGTTTGCCAGAACACTGCCTGCCTTGGACTATGCTCCCCTTTTAGCTTGGTGAGTCAGATCTTTCCTGTGGACCACCTTCCAAGTTGTACTGGCTTAGAAAATTGTTCCACCTCATCTTTTTGTTGGTTTTGCTGTTATAGAATTCATTTTGAGGCACCATTTTATAGTTATTTGGAGATAAAATATGGAAGGCAATTTCCTGCTTACTCCACCATATTGGCTCTTGGAAGTCCCTATGAACTTATGTTTAAAAAATATTTTTATAACTGTAGTAAGTGGTTTCCTTTTTAATCCTGTGTATTTTATTTTATGCATTTAAAAACATCATTATAAGAATGAACCTGGGGCCCTTGACTTGACTATAGTTCCTTGACATTATTATAGGTTAACTCCTGATTCTAGGAAGAGATTTTGACCCTGTGGATTTCCCAAGGCAAAGTCTAGAAGCTGTCCCTTCAAATCTTAAGAAGAAACATTCTGCCAACATGTGTATGCATTCTCATATTTATTTTGAAATTTAAATAATGGAAGCACCAATGACTTTCCCAGCCTGGGAAGTTCCAGAAAGCATTCCAGAAAGCAAACCATTTATTTATTAGATAAGTCATCTGGAGTTGCTTGGAGGCACTCTATATTAATTTATATAGATGCAGATAAAAATATTCTGTACATCTACAGATAGATACATATGAAAACTATATAGTATCAAATAAAAATCAGATCTGAATTAGTTCCTGATTTTACAACTATATATCTACATATAGCCACTGATATAAACACATGTATTTATGCATATATATATATAAACATACATGTGACATACATTACTGTCTATATAATATATATGCATATATGTATCAAACATTTACCTGTATCGGTGTTTATAACTCATGGAACCAAACTTGCTGAGTTTTCTTGACAAAGAATTTGATTCATTTTCTGGTATTCTAAGTGATTTAGAAAATAAAGAAAAATAGTGATAGACAAATATATAAATTTCTATATCATTTTATCAAGATATTCAGATAATTATAGGATAATATTTTATTAGAGTGGTTAGATGAATAGCTCTATTTTCTTAGCCTGAGATGCATAAGTAAATATAACCTGAATGCATAAGTTTTTTAAAGAATATATAATCTCAGTTTTAAGATTCTCCTGGAATCAGTTGACTTTCTCAAAATTTCTTGATCTTTGACCAACAGCAGTTAATTACATTTGTATTTTACAATGGATAACCAATTTTTACTTGCTTACAAAATGGGACACAAATATCATGCTTGGAGTGACCTCAGAAGACTGCTATTATTTGAGCTCCTTACCCTATTTCTTTTAAATTATTAGTAATATACTACATCACATTCCTAATTCAGGATATGAGGGCCTGCTAATTTTTCTTTTTCTTTTTTTTTTAAAAAAAGTCCCACTTGTGTGTAATATTCTTTAAAACATTTGATTCATAAATGTGCTCTCACACAGTGATGCGCAGTGGTTAAATATTAACAGTTATGAAAGTTTTAGATTATGATATTATATCATTCAGATTATGATATTATTGACCATTTCCCCAAGATGTACATGGGTTATGATTAGCTTTTTATATACATATGTATGCTTGTATGTACATTTTATGTCTGTATATATGTATGCTTGACAGACAATGTGGAGACGACCAAAGATTTTTGAGAAATAATTATGAATCTTCTTTGAAATTAAGTTATTTTCTTGAAAATGTTCCTTTGATTAGATTAATACAATGAACAAACTTTTATACTTTACCTAAAGAATGTATGATGCTCAACACAACCCTTCCAGAGATGTTTGCAAGTGCTTTTATTTGGGGCTTCAAAAAAGAAGGAGGTTTCATTGCACTGAAATAAAAGACAATAAGAATTACTCATCATACAAAATGTTAATTCTACAGAAAATTCTCTTTTGTTACAAAATACTCAAATAAATAAAGAATACTTGAAAGTGTGAGTATTACTCTCTCTACTATGCCTTAACAGTCTTGATGAGTTTCCAAAGCTGAAAAAAAAAGAATCATTATTTACCAGCCAATACTTTGGTGAGATAAAGAATAGTAATTGTGAAAGTGAAAGTGAATTAAACTACATGTGATGTTTATACTGATGTAATTTTGTGGTATCTGATAAGGGGAAAAAATGAAATTTTCTTATTATCATACTCATAGAATCTGAGATTTAGAGCAGGAAGGAAAACTAAAAACCATCTAGTCTAATCCACATTTTATTGATGAGAAAACTGATGCCCCGAAAGGCAAAGTACTTGTCAAAGGTCTACATAGCTAGGTGACATTTGTAGATATTTCTTTCCCAACTTTTCCTCCCCTACTCCTCAGGAAATATATAAGGGTTTTTGTTCTTACAACAAGACAAGATACATTAAAAAGAAAGAATACTTGAACAATAAAGACAAATCTCCTTGTTTCTTACACAGAAACATCTCAGAGATCAAGCAGAAAAACAACAACAGGGGCATCAGAATAGGGATGAAAGAGGCTTCTAGGAATCACTATATTCACACAGATAAAAGGGTAATAAAATGATTAATTCCATTATTCTTTCTCTTTGAGATAGTTTTTGGATAATATTTTAAGGGGATAATTTTGTTTTTTTTTAAAAAGTGTTCAAATACAAAAACTTTGATTTCCTTTGGAAGCTCACCTTTTCCTCCTAAGAAAGGATTCAAGACACTGCCAAGAGTACTGGAGTGAAGCGTGGGAGGAGAGAAAGTTACAAGGCATGGGATAATGCTGATTTGTCTCTGGTCACATAGGTCCTAAGATTATGTACTGAATTTTACTTCAATTCCTAAACATTGAAAAAAAATAAGTTGTTTCACTTGTTCCTTTCCAGCAGAAAACACTGCACAAGCTCTTCTTTCCTTTAAGAATTTAATGAAATCAATTTCTTTTAGTCCATTTGTGATCTTTGTGTTGCAACACTCAAGGCAGTGATAATTTCACCACCTTCGAGGTCCCCAACTCCAGTCTTTTAAGTGTGGTATTTAGCCTTTTAAATGTGTAGGTTCCAAAAGGAAAAGCACACTTTTGGAAACCTCTAGCATAGAAGAGCAGATCATGTCTCCTAGTACCTTTACTAAAGCATCTTCTATATAAGTAACTGTCACAGATCAGACCATAGCTATCTCTAATTCCAACAGATTCTCCTCTTAAATATTGCTTCTCTTTTCAGACCAAGGCCAATGTCTTGATTCCAGATTAGCAGGGTTCTCTGGCAAGAAGCCTTAGCTCCAGCAACTAAGTTGGGAAATGGTTGAATATTTTTTACTTAACCACCACCAAACAAATATTTATCTGGGCTAAGCATTCAAACCTGTCTACTTAGATTTAATTATTTCCCTTTCTATAGTCTATTTGATTTTATTGGTACTTGGCTTTAGTTGACTGCTAAGTTACACAGAACAATTTTGGGCCATTACATAATATGTCTTCTAGAAGAAAGAGATTAAAATTTTTCTGCAAATATTTCAAGGTCCAGTCACTGTCTTTCTAGACATATAATATAGCTGACTAGGGCTATGAATGGGTAACATCTTTCCTATGTCAAGTGCCAGGTGGATGGGAAGTAAGAAAAATGTATTTATGATATCCTCCACATAACAAAAGATCACCAGGGAGAGCAACTTTGCCCATATAAAACAAGGGCTCTAGAATCCTGAGGGCAGCAAATGTCCCTCAGTCTGAGGTTATGGGCCCATGAAGGGTATCTTCCCTTCCATCACTAGAAGTTCGCTCTTACATGGCTTGAAGACTTCTGTGTTGTGCAAATCTGGCATCCTGGATTCACATCAGTCAGTAAAAAGAAATCATTAAGGCAGAGCCAAGATGGTGGAGAAAAGGCAGGGGCTCACCTGAGCTATCCCCAAAGATCCTCCAAAATCTTTAATGCCTCAAAACAAATTCTGGAGCAGCAGAACCCACAAAATGAGAGGTTGGAACAATTTTCCTGTCCAAGATAGCTTTGAAGATCAGCAGGAAAGGTCTGTTGCCCCAAGGTGGGAGTGAAATAAAGTCCAGTGCAGGCCATGGCACCCAGCAAATCAACAGTAGGCCTTGGGGGCAATTGAACAGTGGAAGCAGTGGCAGTTTCTGGACATCCCAGCTCACAGATGGTAAGGGGGTCAAATAACTGGTCAGAAGATTACAGGGGTCCCTTTGCTGGCACTGGGCCTAAGACTCTGTTGTATTCCCCATACTTTGATCTGGTTCACAGTCCTGGGTCTGAGTTCTAGGGCAAGAAGGAGCACCAGAGCTTATAGCCACAGGGAAGCTGGGATTCTGGTCACAGTTCCAGGGTTAAAAAGAGTACTTGTGTTTGCTCACAGAACAGAGCACAGGCCAGGAGAGTAGTAAACACACCTCTCCCTAGATCATACCAGCTTGGCAGAACTGAAAACTTACAGGTCCCCAGAATCATCTCTGGAACCAGCTGAACAAAAAACCTGAGTGTGGGTCAGTGCTCCCTCCACTCCAGGAGCAGAGATCCACTTCAATATTAAATTAAAAGTCAAGAAATAGACTTGGAAAATGAGCAAAATACAAAACAAAACAAAAAAAAAACCCAAACCAAGCCTGGCCATAGAAAGTTACCATGATGACCGAGAGGATCAAAACACAAATTCAGAAGAAGGCAACAAAGTCAAAACTCCTATATCCAAAGCCTCCGAGAAAAATATGAATTGGTTTCTGGCTATAGAAGAGCTAAAAAAGGATTTTAAAAATCAAGAGAGGTAGAGGAAAAATTGGGAAGAGAAATGAGTGATGCAAGAAAATCATGAAAAAAGAGTAAATAGCTTGGTAAAGGAAACAAAAATTCCCTGAAGAGAAGAACTCCTTAAAAAGTAAAATTGGCCAAATGGAAAAGGAGGTACAAAAGCTCACTGAAGAAAATACTTCCTTAAAAAGTAGAATTGGGAAAGTGGAAGCTTTATGAGATAGCAAGCAACAATAAAACAAAATCAAAAGAATGAAAAAAAAAGAAGAAGAAAATGTGAAATATCTCATTGGAAGGACAACTGACCTAGAAAATCAATTGAAGAGAGATAATTTAAAAATTATTGGATTAATTGAGAGCCATAGTCAAAAAAGGAGCCTACACATCATCTTTCAAGAAATATTAAGGAAAACTGCCCTGATATTCTGGAACCAGAGGGTAAAATGGAAATTGAAAAAATCCAGTGATCACCTCCTGAAAGAGATACCAAAATGAAAACTCCCAGGAATATTATATCCAAATTCCAGAGCTTGTACATCAAGAAGAAAATATGGTAAGCAGACAAAAACAAACAATTCAAATATCTTAGAGCCACAGTTAGGATAAAACAAAATTTAGCAGTTTCTACATTAAAGGTTTGGAAGGCTTGGAATATGATTTTCCAGAGGACAAAAGAACTAGGATTACAAACACGAATCACCAACCCAGCAAAACTGAGTATAACCCTTCAGGACAAAAATACAGACATTCAATGAAATAGAGGACTTTCAAGCATTCCTGATGAAAATATCAGAGCTGAATAGAAAACTTGACTTTAAAATATAAGACTCAAGAGAAGGATAAAAAGGGAAATGGGAGAAAGAAATGAGGGATTCAATAAAGTTAAACTGTTTTCATTCCTAAATGGGAAGATGACACTTGTAATGTCTAAAATCTTTCTAATTATTTTTAGGGCAGTTAGAAGGAGTATACACTGACAGAGAGAATGAGCGTGAGTTAAATATGATTAGATGATCATCTAAAAAAATGAAAGTAAGAGGTAAGAAAGAGGAATGCACTGGGAGAAGGGGAAAGGGAGAGATAGAATGGGGTAAATTATCTGACAAAAAAAAGAGACACAAAAGAGGTTTTACTGTGGAGGGAAAGATGGGGGAAGCATTTGGCATCACTTGAACCTTACTCTCATCGGAAGTGGCTCAAAGAAGGAATAATATACATACTTAATTGGATATAGAAATCTATCTTGCCATACATGAAAGTAGGAAGCGAAGAGGATGAGGTGGGGTGAGGCTGATAAAAGGGAGGTCAGATTGGGGGTGGCAAAAATTAGAATAAAAACACTTTCGAAAATGGACAGTGTGAGAGAGAGAGTGAAAAGAATAAACAGGGAAAATAGGATAGAGGGAAATACAAAATTAGTAATCATAATTGCAAAAAAATATTTACAGCAAGTTTCTCTGATAAAGATCTTATTTCTCAAATATATAGAGAACTAAGCCAAATTTATAGAAATAAGAGCCTTTCTTCAGTTGAATAAATGGTGAAAGGATATGAACAGGCAGTTTTCAGATGAAATAATCTAAGCTATATACAGTCATATGAAAAAATGCTCTAAATCATTATTAAGTAAAGAAATGCAAATTAAAACAACTCTGAGCTACCACCCAACACCTATCAGATTGGCTAACGTGATAGAAAAGGAAAATGACAAATGCTGGAGGAGATGTGCAAAAATTGTGACACTAATACAACGTTGGTGAAGTTGTGTACTGATTCAAACCTTCTATGGGGAAAAATGGGAACTATACCCAAACAGCTCTAAAACCATGCATACCCTTTGATCCAGCAATAACACTTCCAGATCTGTATCCCAAAGAGATAAAAAAAACAATAAGGAAAAGACCCTTATGTACAAAAATAATTCTGAATGTTATGACCATCAATGGGGAATGGTTGAATAAGTTGTATATGATTGTGATGGAATACTATTGTGCTATAAGAAATGATGAGCAGGACGCTCAGAAAAACCTGGAAAGATTTACATGAATGATGCAAAATGAAATGAGCAGAACCAGGAGAACACTGCACACAGTAACAGCAATATAATATGATGATCAACTGTGAATGACTTAACTCTTCTCAGCAATACAATAATTTAAGACAATTCTGAAGGATTTATGATGAAAAATGCTATCCACCTCCAGAGAAAGAACTGATGAAGTCTGAATGCAGATCGAAGCATACTTTTTTTTTAATTATCTGTGTTTTCTTTAAAATATGACTAACATGGAAATACATTTTGTATTATAGCACTTATGTAACCTATATCAAATTGCTTGCCTTCTCAATGTGAGGGGAACTGGAGGGAAGGAGAAAACTTGGAATTCAAATTTAAGCCAGTGTTAAAAATTGTATTCTACATATAGTTGGGGAAAAATAAGATATTAACTTTTTTTAAAAAAAGAAAAAATTCATTAAGCAAGGTACTGTGCTATGTGTTGGGGATAGAAAAGCAAAAGACAATCCCTATTCTCAAGTAGCTCACAGTCATAACGGGAGAAACAATATGAAAATAACTATAATAAACTGGAAATAACCAACAGACAGAAGAAGCTAACCTCAAAGGGAATTATGAACAGTTTCTGGTAGGAGGTGAGACTCTAGCTGGGACTTGAAGGTAGCTGGGAGTCAGAGATGAAAGGCAGAATTCTAGGCACAGGAGACATGGCTTCTGGATACCTCTGTAGTACTATCACTGGAACTGAGGTGCAGTGATTAAAGTGCTGGGCATGGAGTTAGGGAGTTCAAATCCAGACTCAGATACTTACTAGTTGTATGAAATTAGGTAAATTATTTAATCTCTGCCTCAGTTTTCTAAACTGTGAAGTACCTAGCAGGGTAGTTGTGAGGATAAAATGAGATAATATTTGTAAAGTGCTTAAGCACATTATCTGGCACTAAAAATGCTTATTTCCTTCCACCTTCCCCCCCCCCGCAGAGTTCTTGGTCCAGAAAAGGCATGTTTTTCAAAAGAGGTTGTTTTTCTAATCCTACTTTCACAATCCATGCTGTTGACACCAGGACCCACTAAGGAAGTATGATCCATGAGTAAACCAGGCTCTGGGCATATATTTTAAAGATGTTCTCAGTTCTGGTAGCATATTATTGAGCACAGTTGTTCTAGGTTTTTTGCTTGGGTGTGCTACTTGGAGTGGACGTCAGTCTATCTTTTTAAAAAAATTATCATTATTTCTCCATTTCACAGCCTTAATTTAGAGACTGTGCCATATCACGGGAACTGTTTTTTCCCTTTTATGGGGATTGGATCCAGCATCTCTCAAAAGGCTGTTGATCAAAATGCTAGATACTCTCTTATATGGTTCTGTAATTAGAAAATTTATGATGATATGTAACCTTAGTCTTCACAACTTGTTTGTATGTTCACCGGTAGCAGAGATGGTTATGGTACAAAATTACAAACTCACTTCTCCTTCTTCAGCTTTAGAAAACTACTAGTACTTTCAATCTATAATAACTAGTCCCCCCCCCCCCATAGTATTATCAGATTGCAGAGGAGTCATTATTATGGAATATTCCTTGCTTTCCCTTTTAATGCTTGAGAATAATCTGTGTAGCATAGGCATTATCAATTGTTCTTTAAAATTGTGACATCATTGTCACGTAAATAAATCTGGCCCAGGAGATTTTTCTTTGGTAGTTCTTTTATAGCTAGTTCAATTTCTTTTTCTGAGATTGGATTATTTAAGATTTGTACTTGATGATCTGTTGCTTTGATATTCAATTTTTAAGGTGTACTCAGTTCTGCTAGCATATTATTGAGCATAGTCAAGTTTCATATATTTCTTTTAATTTCTTCTAGTTTTGTAGTGACTTCAAACTTCTTTTTTATTTTATTGATTTGATGTTTTTTTACCTTTTTATTCATAGTGTCTAACAGATTTTGTTGTCTTTACAAAGTAACAGTGATTGGTACAAGCATTCTGGAAAACAATTTGATATGAAGCAAATTAAGTGGCTCAAACATCCAGTTCTTTCTTTCACTTTCTACTGCTAGGCATATGTTTCAAGTAAGTGACAAACAAAACAAAAAACTCAATATGTATATCAAAAAATCTATAGCAGCAGTTTTTGTACTACTAGACAAAATGGAAACAATGTGATTCCAGTTGATCGGAGATGGACTAAACAAACAAGTTGTGGTACATGAATGAAATGAAGTATTAGTGTGCTGTAGGAAAGGAAGCATGATGAATACAAAGAAGCATAGAAAGACTTACATAAACTGATACAAAGTGAAATAAGCAGAGCTAAGAAAACAATATGCAACATGATTACATCCATGAATATAGAAAAAAACCCATAAAACAATCAAAGAGGAATGTTGTGAATTTGTAAAGATCAGGATTGATTTTAATGAAGAGAAATGAGAAGATAAGCTGATCCTTGGTAGAGTTATATGGGGAGAGGAGATTCATGTGCATAGAACATTGCATACATCAGAATTTGATGATGTTTTCTTTGCTTTTAAAAATATCTGTTACATGGAATAGTTTTCTGAGATGAGAATAAATGGTATTAAGTCATCAATTAGGAAAAGGGAAAATATACATTGATTGCTTCTAAATATCCTCTTCATACTTGTAGCATAATATATACCCACATATATGAATGGCAATGCTTATTTGTTGCAATGAACATTTCAACAGAAAATAAATTGTCAAGTTTATTTTCTTAGAATTTGTATTGTATTAAACATCAATAAAAAACAAATACATATGGATAGATCTTCACACCGTGTTTTTCTTCATCTATCTCATAAATACAGATTACTGCAACAGCACTTCAAGGGAGCAGTATTTTCAGTTGATGATTAAAGGAAGCTCTCACACCCCTACATTCTTTTGCCCAGTTTCCTTAAAACTACCTGCCTGTCAAGGCATGAAACTTTAAGACTCTGGCAAACAAGGTGTCCATTACAAGAACAGTCTAGAAAGGCTTCACTAGGAGTAAGAGCAAATACCAAGCATTTTCCCACTATAACCATATGTGCTTTTTTATATTTCTAAAATTTCCCACTTAGACCTCAAAATATCAAATATGACATTTCTTTTATGCTAATTACTATACTTTGGAGTAAAATTAGTCCTCCTTTGTATTCTACATATATCTATGTCCTGATATCCAATATTCCCAAATCAAGAGCAAATTATCACACTACAGATAATTAATCTGTAGTCTGCTCTATTATAGGAAGGGGTTTTTTTTCCTTGCTAGAATGAGAAAAATTATTTTCTGTTATAATTTCCCATACACTCTGCACTATTCCTGTTTCTCTGCTTAAAGAAAAAGCTGACAATGTCTATACATTTTTCTCTCCCTTCCCACAGCTAAAGTAAAAGCAGCTTCATTTCACAGTGCATTTTAAACTGGATCCCAGCAGACTCCCCTCCCCACTCCCTGGTATTAGTCATAAACTTACATCTTTTCCCAGCACTCTGAGTTCAAACTGTGTCTCTTTAAAGTGAACTTTTGTAATTCGTGGCCTAAAGAAAGCAGAGGGTTTTTTTTAGTTTAGTGTTTTTTTTTAAAGAACTAAAGTTACAGAAGTTTAGAGAAGTATACAAAGACTAAAACTTGATGAAGCTTGCAACAAATGCATGGGGGATCCTGTGTTTCTTTTGTTGGGTGGGTTCAGGCTGTCAAGCCCCTAGACCCCTGATTCTATCCTTCATTCTTTATGTTTTCCCTTCTAGGGATGATGTTCCTGAGATTCTCCACTAAGTGGGTTGTATAAGAACACCCCCCTCAGCAGCTTGAAACTTATAAGGGCTCTGAAACTCTGTTCCATAAACAGCAGCAGGCATAATGCAGATGCTACAGATTTTCCATTCTGTTTCATCCTATAACCAGTTCAGATATATAGCTTCTGGGTGGTGCTGTGGCTCAGATGTGGATTTTGGAAGGTCCAGGCCAGGAAGCCCTAAACAAAAGTACTTTCAAGGGTATTCTTGCCAGAAAGCTGTTTGTTCTCTGTGCAGGAAAAAGGAAATTTTTTAAATGAACCTTTTGGTTTAGAAAGTATTAGAAAATAAAATGTGCCTATCTCTACTTGTCAATTTGCTTATAAGGACATTTATCAGCTACTGTCTGGACCTGCTTATTTTCTAGTATTCCTTTCAGAGATAGATATGTAGCAGATAGACATTATTATAGATTAGATTATAAAGTCATACATACCAGAAATATTTCCCTACTAGTTTCTTATTCTTGTAGACAACCACACCCACAGGAGTTAAACCTAAGAAATATTCAGACTTGCCTTCTCCCTGAAAAAAAAAAGTTATTCATTTACTACTATGCAGTTCTCTGTTGTTTTGAAAGAGCCACTCAAGTGTTCTAAGGATTAGTATACAATAAAACTCACAGCACCAGATAATCTTTAATTCAGAAGGAAAACTTCAGAACCTATAAAAAGCATAGTAACAAACTTCTAAACTTTAATCATATTTGCTATTTCATTATAAGAAAACTAGATATATAATCTGACAAGTTTCCATATTGTCTAAATCTAGCTTCCTCATCCAACTTTATCAGACAATTGTGAAGCCTAGTGTTTCAACCAAATCGTCTCCCTACATATATTTAAACATAAATACATGCAACTCATAGCTTCTGAATAGCCACAGCCATTAGACAGTTCTAATCAGTCTCTCTTCTACTTACTTAATGACCAGCCATGATCAATCAACAAGTATTTATTAAGCAACTGTGCCAGGCACTGTGCTAAGTACTGGGGATAAAAATATAATGAATGAAATGACTGCTACTTGCAAGGAACTTACATCCTAATGGAGGAGTTGGTTAAGTAGGTGGGTAACATGGTGAAATCTACAATTATGGAAAACTTTAGCAGCAGTGTGTAGAATGGACCAGAGTGGGGTAAAACTTTGAGGTGGGAAGACCATTTAGGAAGTTGTTGCAATAAAGGAAAGATGAAGACTGTGTGAGTAGATGAAGGAAGCTGGTGAAAGAGACGCACTTTTATACACTAGGGAAAGGAGAAGAGAGTGAAGAAAGATGTTCAGGATTTTGGAGATGAAGAGAAGAGCAACAGAGGTATCAATGTTGAATGGCTTCAATGTTCTCAGTAGAGGTAATATCATTATCTGAGAGAGAGGCAGAAGGGGAAGATTTAGGAGGCTTGAGAACAGTATAGAGAAGGAACAGCATAGAAAAGGAAAACCTTTTGTGGGGAGTGACAGGAAATCTGTTAGGACACAGAGGGCCCAGTATAGGTTATCGGGGAATTGTGAGTTGTTGGCATGCTAGGGTGCAGAAGATCCCAAGTTCCATACAAATAGCCCATTTTTCTTAGTTCATGGAAATAATCACCTCTAGGTTCCCCCACCCAGCCTAGGAATCTACAGAAGGACTCCCTGGAGTCCCATGGAAATCCTGGGATAGACAAGCCTAGGCAGGTCAAGAGTCAAACCCAGAGAAAGGAATACAAGAAGCCACACCTGGAGCATTCAAGGCAGTCCCTGTGCTACCACTCTGAGATCTGTACTTCTTAAGCCTAGAAGACTAGCTACAGGGGAGTTATTTTGGGGTATTCTGGGCTGTCCCATAAGGGGATCCCTGCCCAAGCCTCACTTAAATCATGGCTGGCTGACTCAGCTTGGCTTAGGAGGGAGCAGCCTGGGGGTGTTCTGTGTGGGTTCATTTCAACATTCCAGAAAACAGAGTCTGAAGCTGACTCACTCCCAAGTCCCCAACCCAGACCTATCCTAGCAGAAACAGCAGCTTCGGGATATTGGGGTTGTAGGAAAGAATAGTGTTCAAGCCAAGCTATGAGAGAAAGAACCTGAGCAAAATCTAGCCCAAGCAATTCCTGAAGCCTGTGGTTGGATCCTAGTATGGGAGTAATCCTTAAGTTCATTAGGAGAGGAGAAGAACCCCAGGCAGAGCCTACAGCAGGGAGAAATCTATGACAAGAGGGAATTCCTAGCCAAAGTCAGAAGCCACAGCATCTCCGCAGTTCCTTGAAGGAGGGATCTAGCATAGGTCATTATTCTAAGAACCAGGCAGGCCCCACCACGCCTTGTGTCTTGATCCAAACACAGACACTTTTCCAACTCTCCATGTTTCCCTCCTCCACTCCCCTCATCATGAGTAATGAAGGAAGCCTCCAATCAACATGAAGAAGTACCTTGGGGAGACTCTCAGGAGACAAGTCCTGAAGAAGAAAATAACCCTACAACAAGCCTTAGAAGGATTAAAATGACCTCGCCACAAAGATGACAGAAGTATCTCAAGGAACACAAACAGAATGGAAAAACAAAGGAGGGAAAAACAGCAAGGAAAATCAATGGCTTAGAACAGGCCATGGGAAGACACATTCAAAAACTCAATGCCCTGAAAATTAGAATGAGCAGAGCAGAAAATAGTGACAAAGCAATAAATACCAAAACAAAACAAAAATTAATGGACTGTCTGAAAATTACAATTTGAAAAAAAAGTCTTGATACCATATTTCAGGAAGTCATTAATGGAAATTGCCCAGGACTCTTAGAATTAGAGGGCAGAGTGAAAATTGAAAGAATCTACTGGTCATCTCCTGAAAGAAGTCCCAAAATGAAAACACCAAGGAACATCATAGGCAAATTCTAGAGATTCCAGGTCAAAGAAAAAAAATATATTAGAAGTAGCCCAAAAGAAGTTCAAATGCCAAGTACTTAAAGTAAAAATTACAAAAGACTTAGCAACTGCCACTATAATAAGAGTTAAATCTTAGAATATGATTCAAAAAGATGAGAGATAAAGGTTTACAACCAAGGATAAAACTATTTGGCAAAACTAAGTATCATTGTATATAAAGAATGTACTTTTTTTTTTTGCTGAGGCAGTTGGGGTTAAGTGACTTGTCCTGAATCACACAGCTAGTGTTATGTGTCTGAGGCTGGTTTTGAACCCAGGTCCTCCTTACTCCAGTGCCAGTGCTCTATCCACTGTGCCACCTAGCTGCCCCAAGAATATACTTTTTTTAAAAAAACTTATTTTTAGTTTTCAACATTCACTTCTGTAAGCTTTTGAGTTTTACATTTTCTCCCCTTTCCTCCCCAAGACAGCATGCAATCTGATATAGGCTCTACATATAAGAATGCACTTTTCATGGAATGGAGAATTTCAAAGTATTCCTGATGAAAAGGTCAAAACTGAGTAGACATTTGGAAATGGAAGTGGAACCACCAAGAGAAACATAGAAAGGTAATTATATTTGTTGGTATATGGGGTATCTAAGGTCTTTATGGTCAATAAAAAACTGGGTATATGAGGATGAATTCTATGCCTGTTAACAGGAGGATAAAAAACAAATATCTTCACAGAACCTTCATATTTTAAGGGTCGTAGAGAAAAGTTAAAATGATAGAGAAGGCTTGTAGGTGGTTTTCTTCTGTTTTAATTGTCTTAGGAGAAGTCACATATAAAAGAGGAGAGGGGATTATAATGACAGAAATCACTACTGAATAATAGAGCTGAATAAGATGAAACATATATTGCAAATGAATCAGATAAATGAAGATCAAATACAATTACACACACACACACACACACACACACATGCAGATCTCAGTACAGAAATGTAGTAAATTAAAAAGGAAAATAGGAAGAGACAAGGATGAGGATGGGTAGCAAAGATTCTAAGAAGGAGGGCAGGGTAGGTAAGGGAATAACTATAAACAAAATAATATCAGATGTTGAAGGGAGAAATATGAAGGAGGGATTACAAGGAAGAAAGAAAGAAAGTAAATACCTGGGATCAGGAACAAGTTAAGGAGAAGAGTTATAAAAAAGGGTAAACAGACTAATCCACCTATAAGATCACAAGTATCAGAAAAAGTTGTCTTTTCTATTACTTTCTTATTTGTAAAAAGAGAAGTAGAAGTAAAGAGAGGGAAAAGTTCAAGAGGACAGAATTATGGAAATAAACACTTAACAATTGTACTGGTGAATGTGAATGGTATGAACTCACCCATAAAATAAGAGGAGAGTAGAATGGATTAGAAAGCAGAATCCAACAATAGGTTGTTTACAAGAAACACTGGAAACAAAGATTCACACAGAGTTAAAATGAGAAGCTGGAGTAAAATCTATTATGCTTCAGCTGAATTTTAAAAAGCAAAGGTAGCAATCATGATTTTCAGATAAGGCTATAGTAAATATATGCAAGATAAAAAGAAATAAGGGGGAAAGTACATTATGCTTAAAAACACCATTGATAAAAAGATAATTAATATATATGTAACTAATAATAGAGCATCTAAGTATGTCAAGGAAAAGTTAATAAAATTATGAAAAATTGATAATAAAACCATAATATTGTATCCCTTAATGTAGCAACTAAAAGGAAGAAATAAAAGATCTGAAAAGAACTTTTAAAAAAATCAGAGATGATAGATTTCTGTGATTCTGAATTGGAATATAAAGGAATTTACATATTCTCAGGTATACATCTCACTTTTAACAAATCTTTTTTTTTTTTACTTTTGGTGAGGCAGTTGGGGTTAAGTGACTTGCCCAGGGTCACACAGCTAGTAAGTGTCATGTGTCTGAGGCCAGAGTTGAACTCAAGTCCTCCTGACTCCAAGGCCGGAGCTCTATCCACTGCACCACCTAGCTGCTCACTTTAAAAAAAAAATTGACCACAAAGACCTTGCCCTCCGCCAAAAGCAGAAAAGCAGAAATAGCAAATGCATCATTTACAATGCAATAAAAATCATATTCAGTAAAATGTCCTTAAAGAAAAAAATAATTATTTGGAGACTAAGTAACATAATTCTAAAAAACTGGTGGGTCAAAGAACAAGTAATAGAAACAAAAGGAGATCTGACCAAAGAAAGTGACAATAATGATAAAACATCACAAAAGTTATAGGATGCATCTAAAACATTCCTTAGTGAATTTTAAATCTATAAATACTTTCATTAATGAAAAAGAGAAAAAAACAAATCAGTTATTTATGTATGCAATAAAAAAATACCTGAATAACAAATGAAAGGTCCAGAAGAGAATAACAAAGGAAAAAATTAGCTAACTTGATTTTTTTTAAAAGAGAGGAAAACCAAGCTATTGATATAAAAAATTATAAAGGAGAACCTACAACAAAGAAACTCTCTTTACAAAGTTTATGATATAAAACTGATAACTTAGAAGAAATAAATGAATAGTTATAAAATAGAAAATACCAGATTAACCAAAGAAGAAATTGACCCAAATGGGAAAAAAAATTCCAGCATTTTATGGATTCACACTTGAATGATATCATCCGTTAAAATAACAAACCAATATTTCAAACTCTTTGAAATAATAAGACTAGAAGGTAACATCTCAATTTATTTCTATGACACAAATATACTATTGATGCCTAATCTAGCGAGAAACAAAGAAGAAAAAGAGAACCATATTCTCTATTTCCTACGGTATTATTGCAAAAATTTTGAATAAAATGTTAGCAAATAAGCTACAACATCATATTAGAAAGATTATACATTATGAATAGGATGAGTTTATACTAAGAATGCAGGATTCAACATAAAGAAATCTATAAATATAATAAACCATGTTAATATAATAAAAACCATGTTTTAAATTAATAGATGAAGAAAATGCTTTTGACAAAAACAATTACTTCTTATATTAGAAACTCAAAAAGGCACAGGAATAAAAGGATCTTTCCTTAGTATAGTAAATAATATTTATCTCAGTCTAAGAGTAAACATTACATGTAATTGAGAAAAATTAGAGGCTTTCCCAATAAGCTCAAGCCTAAAGCCAAGAAGCCCATTTCCCCCATTAACATTTAATACAGTGCTAGAAATGCCTGCTAAAGGAATAAGAAAAAAAGAAACTGAGGGAATAAATATAGGCAAAGAAATGAAAAATGATCACTTTAGTGACAATAAGATGCTGAAAATCTTAGTCAAATAAAAATTAATTGAAATAATTAAAAACCAGCACATTTTCAGGATATAAAGATAAATCTATACAAATCATCAGCAGTCCTATATTTAGACATGGCAGAAAAAAAGTTAAAAAAGAGAAAGTCCATCAAAATTAACTACAGAAGTTATATAAGATTTGATAGTGTATTTTCAATATTCACCTAACGAATATATGAAACTAAATATAAAATATTCTTCACAGAAATGAAACGACTTAAATATTGGTATAGTATTAATTTCTCATGGGTAGGTTGTCTATTGCCCAGATTTTAACATACATCTGAATATAGAGCCATATATAAAGATCTATATACTTATCCAATACTATTTACATCTGCACAGAAAATACAGACACATAATGATATGAACTTAGAACTGAAAAGGAAGAGGAGAGATGACTGTATTGATTTTGGAAAATTAGAAAGCAATTTTATTGACCTCAGACTCCCCATAACAGCAAAAGACCATATTTTTAATAACAATATTTAACTGGTATTGCTGTATAGCAGCAAGAAATCAAATACTACTCACTGAAGAACTAAACATGAGAATCACACAGAAGGCAATGGAAAGGCTAGTGGTAGATGTGAATAATAGCTACCATTTATATAGTAGTACATATATTTAAAGTTTGTAAAGTTCTTTACATACATTATCAAAAACTGATCCTCCCACAACCCAGGGAGATTATTATCTCTGTTATTATCTCTATTTTGAAAATGGTGAGGTAATTGTGGCTGAGAGAGGTTAAGAGACTTACCCAGAGTCAGAGAGTGTCTGAGGCAGGATTTGAACTCAGAGCTTCCTGATTCAAAGCCCCAGTCTCTGCCCACTCTGCCAGTGAGCTGGCTAAGACAAGGTACAACAAATTTCCCAAGAGAAACTTCAAAGAATGGGATTAAAAGAATATATCAAAATATCATATGACAGAAAGAGAAGATGAACTGGTCATATGGCAAACTGAGAAATGCCAGGTGGCTCTACTGGAACTCTTGATGTGTCAACTGCCATATTGGGGTAGACCCCCCCTGTGGAGTACTTTGGGGAGAAAATGAACAAGACTCCCAAGCAATGGGCAGGCATGGGTGAGTTGATCTACACTGTTGGAGGAAACTCCCAAATCAATGAGACCCATTTGAATAAATAATAACTGGAGAAAAAAAGTGCTTCAACTTAAATTAATTTGTTACACCAATTTCTTGCTGATTATATGTGCCCTGATCCTGGAGAAATTTCATAAAACTGCATGTCACTACAGCATTGCATATGGAGTCTACTTAAAAACAGAGACAGCTAGGTGGTGCAATGGATAGAGCACTGGCCTGGGAGTCAGGGGGACCTGAGTTCATATCCTTAGACACATAACACTAGCTGTGTGATCCTGGGCAAGTCACTCAACCCCAACTGCCTTACCAAAAAAAAAAATTACCACTACTATAACATTTACAGAACCTTTGCAACAAAAATTAAAACAATTAGCTGCTCTTCCTGGTATTTTATTTCCTATGAAATGATTTTTGTGAATGTGACCACACAATCAATTTTCTGAAGTAGCTTCATATTTTATGTTCAATATAATCAATGATAGTCAGCTTTATATCTTCTGGACACTTTTGACTAGATACTGAGAATTATTATCCATGCTGTATCTTCAAGCTCAAGTAATTGTCTACTACTGATAGAAATATAATCACAACCTTTCATGCAAAACTAATTTCTTTTTCCTATGGGTAAGTTCAATTCATGTTCCTTTCCAAAGTTTTGCTATGCATTTGATAAACAGGCATAAAAGTACCCTATAGTTGCTAAATAGCCTGATTATAGCTTTTTATACATAAATTTGGTGACTTTTAAAAGATGACACGGGCAGCTAAGTGACACAGTGGATAGTGTGTCAGGCCTCAAGTCAGGAAGACTCATCTTCCTGAGTTCAAATCTGGCCTCAGATACTAACTGTGTGACCCTGGGCAAGTCACTTCACCCTGTTTGCCTCAGTTCTTCATCTGTAAAATGAGCTGGAGAAGGAAGTAGGAAATTACTTCAGTATCTCTGCCAAGAAAACCTCAAGTGGGATCACAAAGAGTCAGACACAACTGAAAAATAACAAAAGATATCAGTTGAATATATTTAATGTTAAATAATACTCACATAGACAGGATGGAGGTCAACTCCATACATTTCCAGGGATTTGGCAATTCCCAAGTATTTTATTTCTGCCTCAGAAGGTACTAGACCCCTATATTTTGGGAAAAAATAAATTTATATTAATGACAGTTACTATACTGCTGAGGAAACTAAAGCATTCTAATTCTGTCATGTGAAAAGAATTAGTTTTTATGTCTTAGATTATGCTATATGATTAGTTCTCTCAAACTACAGTTAGTAGAACACAATTTTTAAATCTTTCAGAGTTATTTTTTTTTTTACCACATTGCTGTTACTATATAAGTCATTCCCCTGGTTTTGCTCACATCGTAAAACTTCATTAGTTCATACAAATCTTACCAATTTTCTGAGATTGTCCCTTTCACAATTTATTATAGCACAATAATATTCCATTACATTCATATACCAAAATTTGTTTAGCAAGCCATTTATGGGCATTTTACTTGCCTCCAGTTCTTTGCTACAAACAAAGAGCTACTATAAATATTTTTGTATATATGGATAATTTTCCTTTTTTTAAAAAAATCTTTTTGAAGTATCAATCCAGTAGTGGTATCACTGGGGCAAAGGATATGTACTTTTAAAGATCAGTAACTTTTTATTCAGTATTTTATTTTTTCCCCAGATACACACAAAAACAATTTTTAACATTCCTTTTTTAATTTTAAATTTTTTTTTTATTTATTAACATTCATTTTTAAAACTTTGAGTTCCAAATTCTCTCCCTTCCTCCTCTACATACCCCACCTCATTAAGAAGGCAAACAATTCAATACAGGTTATACATGTATAGTCATGCAAAACATGTCCATAATAGTCATGTTGTGAAAGAAAACATAGACCAAAGGTGGAAAAAACTCAAGAAAAATAAAGTAAAAAAAATATGCTTCAATCTATATTCAAACACTATCAGTTCTTTCTCTGGGAACAGATAGCGTTTTTCATCATAAATCCTTCACAGCTGTCTTGGATTATTATACTGTTGAGAATAGCTAAGTCATTCACAGCTTATCTTCACACAATATTGATGTTACTTTGTGCACAATACATTTCACTTTGCATCAGCTCATGTTAAATCTTTCCAGGTTTTTCTGAGAGCATCCTGCTCATTATTTCTCATAGTATAATAATATTGCACCATAATCATATACCACAATTTGTTCAATCATTCCTCAGTTGATGAGCATCCCCTCAGTTTCAAATTCTTTGCCCCCAGAAAAGAGCTGCTACAAATATTTTTGTACACTTAGGTGCTTTCCCCCTTTTTAAAAATTATCTCTTTTTTGATACAGATCTAGTAATGGTATTGCTAGGTCAAACGGTCTTGGTCTTATAGTCCTTTGGGCATAGTTCCAAAGTTCTCTACAGATGGATTGAATCAGTTCACAACTCTACCAATGGTGTATTGAAGTCTCATTTTTTTCCCTCATCCCCTCCACTATTTGCCAATTTTCCTTTTCTGTCTTATTAGCCAACCTCATAGTATGTGGTAGTACCTCAGAATTACTTTAATTTACATTTCTCCAATCAATAGTGTAGAGCATTTTTTTTCATATGGTTATAGATAGCTTTGATTACTTCATCTGAAAACTGTTCATATCTGATTAGAACTCTGATCCTTAGTTTAATGTAAATTTTTCACTGGAAGTAGAAAAAACAGTGCTCAATAATATATAACCCAAACAAGTATTAAATCTTCCTTTTTTGCCCAAAGGGTAATTTCATCATTTTGCTATGTTAAATCTTCTAAGATTATAATTCTATGCATATGATCTCAATCATATCCCCTACTCTAGTAGATATAGAAGATCTATAAAATAATTCTGTGGCACACCATTCAAAACAACCAAAGTATATCTGGTAGATATGAAATGCTTATAGAAAATATAAATAGTGAAGGCTTTTTACTTTCCTCTTATGCTGATTTATTTTTTGGTATTTGTATGAGTAATCGAAATTTTTGTTCTCCATAAAAAAGTGTATTTTTAACATGGTCACATTTGGAAAGCTTAAGAAGCATTAAATGTCAACATGGTAATCTCCTGATGAAATCACTTCATCTTCTGTATAAAATACAGAAAGGAAAATGGGAATACATTGTATCTTGTGTTTGTTCTTTATCATTATTATGTGGTAACAAGTGAATGAAAAATTTATATGTTAATAAATATTGACAAACAACAAAAAAAAGAATCATTCTCAAAAGTACTAACTTGTCTGCCCTCCAAAATGTACTAACAAGCTTTCTTTGAACATCTTTTCCAGGGAAAACCTAAAATGATGGACTCTGTGATCAAGATGGAAGACCTTAGTACATGCTGTTGTAGTGGCTTTTCCTGATTGCAGTTTAACACCTTGCTCTTACTTCTCACAAAAATTAAAGAATTTGATTCTTTAAGCAAACATTTTGTTATCAAATTGATTCTACAATTATTTTACTTTGTTATGAGCAAAGTTAAATTTAGAAGGGAATAATGCCTAAGAAGAATGTTTTAGTAAATGGAGTTCTTCTCCCATACACAAAGTTAATCTGAGAGAGGATTTAACCAAAACAAGTGTAACTGAATTACAACTTCAATACTGCGAGCCTTTTCTCAGAATTTCTATCAATGGAGAGCATGGATAATCTCAAAGTGCCTGTTCTGTTAATATATATCCTTAGAGAATATGAAAAGCATAGTCTCATTTCTGGCTTTGTTGCTACTTCCTAAATATAAAGTACACTTACTTGTGGATAATCATAAAACATTGGATAGCAAACATTTATACCAAGAAAAGAGGCAACACACACACACACACACACACACACACACACACACACACTAAGGTTTCCTATTCCATAAGATGTTTGTATGATCTGAACATTATTTCTTACATTAGAGTTTTGTGTATTCGTTCTATAGCATCTTCAAGTTCTTCCTTTTGATCTGGAACAAATCGGTACTCAGACACATATCCTGCAGTGTGCTTATATGGGTCATAATCTCCAAGTTCAGCTACAAATAGAGAAAAACAATGTCATTTTCCACTTCCACCTCCAAATTTGGAAATACACATAAAAAAGTTCTTTGTCAGGCTGTTTAGCTATTTTCTTCAAATGCTTTATTATGTTTTTAAATTCATATGAAAATGACTAAAAAATTTCAAGTAACAAAGATCTGGAGGTAGGTGTTACACTTAGTATAACCAAATTCCTGATTAATAAACATGAGCAAAACCTTGCTTTCCCAAAGTCTGCATTTGTAATGTAACTTTTACTGAAGTTATTTTAGCATACAGTAAAGAAATAGTAATCAACTAAAGTTTAGAGATACTATACTGGAAGAAGTTTTTTTAAAATCTTGCTCAGCATACTCTGACTACAAACGTTATCGCATGGAACATATATTAACTTGATTCACTAATATCATCTTGAATGACAATTCTCTAAGATTAAAAACAGGGCTACTTATCACTCCATGGAGATGAATAAAGAGGAAAATTGAAAATAAGAACCTCAGTCATTTAACTCTTGGTGTGGTGGAATTAGCACTGACTCCAGAAGTCAGAGTTCACAAGTATGTAATCTCACCTCTGACCTTTACTTCTGGTGTGACCTTGGGCAAGGTTTTTCTGAACTTCAGTTTCCTCCTCTGTAAAATGTGTAGACTGTATTAGATAGCCTTGGAGGGTCTTATCAGCTTTAAATATATGACCCTTTGATTCTCTGAATTCCTCCTGATTCCTACTTAATAATAATTTTCATTTTACTCTCTTTTTCCAATATCAATTCATTCTTGCACCACTCCTGCTCTAGAAGAGTCAGTCACATATATGCACTGAAAATCATTGAAAATGTTGTGGAATATCACAAATACAGACTATGTTTATTGTTTTTCCAAGGTAACAATAAGGCTAACACAAATACTAACACAAGTTATAGAAACAGGTAAATTTGTATATGATCAATGACGGATTTCCAGTGATTTACATAGTCATCGAGCATACATATATTTGATCATACTGAAAATCAACTAAAATAATCATTATTAATCAAAGAATTTATAAATAGAGCTATCTTTGAGACATATTACCTAGAATTCACTATCAAATTCTCAATGTTTTACACATATCTTTTCAGGAATTTTACAAGTAAATGTAATCCCTCCCCTATAATTAATTTATTGCCACGTTTCAATCAATAGCTATGCTTCCCCCACTAGATTAAAACTTCATTTATTTAAACCAATTGGGTGAAGGCCAATCAGAATTAATGAATAGTTTAAAGTATATAGTAAAATCACTTTCCAGGTTCTCTGCAAACACATGAAAAACATGCAATGAAGAAAATAGCCAAAGACCTGCAGATCACATACAATGAAATATAAGCAGTTTACCAATTAGAAGGAAAAGAAGTTGATTACTGATTAGGGCCAGTCATAAAATCCTACCTTTACTTAAGCAAATATAAAGCAGAGGAGAAGCCTAAAGAGAAGGAGAAAATCAATAAGAAAGAAAAATAGAAAGCAGAAAGAATGAGAAAAAAGTAGTAGAGCAGCAAGCAACCAAAAGAAAAAAGCCCAAAAAACTAGGGCAGAAATTAGAGGTGATAATAGGATAGAATGCAGCAGACAACAATGGCAAGGGGAAGACAGCTAGCTACAAAGGGGAAAGAGAAGAAATACTAGAACACATAGAGACGTTAAATAACATTCGTGATTATAACTCCAAACCATTAAAAATTATTAAACCCGTATATAATATAATATAATATAATATAATATAATATAATATAATATAATATAATATAATATAATATAATATAATATAATATAATATAATAAAATATAATATAATATTATATAATATTATATAATATAATATAATATAATATGATATGATATGATATGATATGATATATGATATGATATGATATAATACGATACAATACAATACAATATAATATAATACAATATAATATAATACAATATAATATTCCCATTTTACAGATAAAGGAAATGAGGCAAATAGAGGTTAAGTGATTTGCCCATAGTCACACAGATAGTAAGTGTCTGAGACTAGATTTGAACTCAGATATTTCTGACTCCAGGCACAACATTCTATCTACTGTTCCACCTAGCTGCTCTTTTTACATCACCACCAAACTATCTTACTTTTGTTCCCAGCACACAATATTCCATTTCTTATCTCAGTGTCTCTGCCCAAGTTGTCCCCTATGCTTGAAACAATCTCCCTCCCTTCCTCAGTATCTTAGCTTTCCTAAATTCCTTAAAACTCTTGGTTCACATGCCACCTCCTATATATAGCAAATCTATTCTGATTCCCCTAGTGGCTAATGTCATCCCCTTGAAAGTACTGTGTATCAAATATATGTATTTGTATAAGTGTATATGTAGCATACATTTACATATATACTAGACAGACACAGAAAATTTACTTTTTTGTGTACACGTTGTTTCCCCTCAAAAGAATAAGCTCCCTGAGGGTATAGACTGTTTTGTTTTTAATGTGCATCCCTGATACCTAGCCTAGTACCAGACACACAGTAGGTGTTTTAAAATGTGCACATGAATGAAGCCTAATAAATAAGGCATTATATTTTAGAAGAAATTTAGTTTTTATGTTTCAGTAAAAATAATTTTGATTAGCTCTAAAACTCTAATTCTAACGCACTGATAATACTCATTTTTAATTAGCAGCATCAATTTTATATAAAAGGTCTTGGGTGAGGTTTATAAAATGCCAATGGCATCATGAGCAGTGGGAAAGACAAAGGAGAAAAACATGCTCAAACAATACTAAGAAAAATTCTAGAAATGAAACTGAAATTTCTTCAGAACTCAAAAACTAAAGGAATTAGATACAGAAATTAACAAAAGTATCATGAAATGAAAAAAATATTAAAACAACTCTGAGGTACTACCTCATTCCCATGAAACAGGAAAAGATGTATTATTACATTAACTAGTGGGCACCTACATTGGAGAGCATATGCTCCCAGCTGAGCAGCAATGTTGATTGGACAGGGCAGTCGCCCTTGTAGCACATCTTGTTTCACCTGCAAAAAAAATTGATACCTAAAAAAAAAAAAAAGAAATGAAAGAGAAAATCAATAAAGATGTATACATTTATGGCTTCAGACATTCATAGTCGTGGTAATATTAAACAAGCTTTACTTACATAACATTACTTTCCCCTGGCATGTAGGCATACAGCGAGCACCTGATTAGTATGAATAATGAATGAATCTTGTGAACTGGTCACATGTATTCAAATTTGTGCTACTTGGAGATATAATTATGTAATTAAAGGGCACCCCAATAGAAGTATGAAGTTTGAATTCAAATAATGTGACCTCTTCAGGGATTCACTATTCACACTAATTGGGACCAACGTATAGTGGTAAAGCAAAGAGATTTAACCATGTCTTAGATATAAGTACATCAACACAGACTCAATTTGAGTAGAAGTGACGCATTATTGTTGGTCTGAAAAAGGGTACAACCATTTTGGAAAGCAATCTAGATTTATGAACAAAGACCTTGCCTTGCCCTGCTCTGCCTACTTTGCTCTGCCTTGCCTTTTCTTTTCTCTTCTTTTCCAATTAGATTTGGAGTGGGAGGTGGAGAAAATAGATTTTTCTGTTGATTTCTGAGAGAACTAGGGGAGGAGATGCTACAGATGTGGAATGCCGCATGTACTTTCAGATTAGGTATTAGTGTTGCTTATCTGTTTTACTTTGTTACAAGGAATAGGAGTAATCTGTAAATGTTTGAAATGTAAAAGCAAAACATCAATAAAACTTAAAAAAATATCTCAGACTCCAAATTTTACAAGAGCATAGAAAGAAAGCATATTACTCACATATATAAATATTTTTGACATTTAGGAATAATTGCTAAGAAGTAGCCTGGTGCAGTGGATAGAGAGCTGTCCAGAGTCAGGAAGACCTAGGATTAAGTTCCACCTTTGACACATTCTAGCTATGTGACCCTAGGCAAGTCACTTAATCTCTTAGCTCTCTCCTAAATTGCAGAGATAGTGAAGATATGCATTCACAGAAAGAATTCCACATACCTGTGTTACCTATGTCAATGAAATCACATGCCTAGTCCTTATCCCTGTTCCTATTGTTAGTAAGAAGGAATTAAATTAAAAACACAACTTTCCAGGCAGGTATAATTAACGTATTTGCCCAGCTGAATTTCTACTTGGAAGACTATGAGATGAGACAATTTAGAGACCAGTAATACTTGGAGAGTAGTGATAGACAGGTATCAGAGCACTGAGTTGAGGCACTGCTTAAGGTTGATGCTAATAACAGGCATGCCAGGGTCTATCCTTCATTTGCAGAGACACTGATGATCTGGCTGTGGCTGAATAGTTTGTTGTGGAGATAATTAAAAGGAGACCTTGGAAAGGCAGGAGAGAGGGAGCTAGAGATCTCAGTTCTCCAGGGTATAGTCATCCTGGTCCCACCAGAGACTGTGCCAGCACTATGAATAGAGAGCAAACTAGAAGCACTCCTGTAAGAGCATCACAGCACTCTCTGATGAGTGCATCACACCATAGAAAAGGTTATCAGCCTGTGTGGATAGAGGAAATCTCCTCATCTAGAAGTTAACTATATCAATGAAATTATAGGATTGGCTCCTCTTTTTAAGAATCATGTGGAGCTGGAAGGACACATTATTAATAGAAAATTGCAGGAGCAGGTAGGTGGCGAAGTGGATAGAGCATTGGCCCTGGAGGCAGGAGGACCCAAGCTCAAATCCAGCCTCAGACACATGATACTTACTAGCTGTGTGACCCTAGGCAAGTCACTTAATCCCACTGCCTCACCAAAAAAAAAATTGGAACAATGCATTAAAGGAAAAACACAGTTTTATGAACATGTGATGAGTCCGTGTAGTAGAAAGGTTTAAGGAGGAAGAAGAATGGAACTGTCTGCTCTCTTGGATTATTCATCATAGGGGAGACTAAACACCAGATTTGGTTGTTTGTAAAGAGTAACTTAGGCCAAAGTTGTGTTATTTGGGATCCCTGAAGGCCTTTTCTTATATGGGTATTTCTCTGTGTGTTTCTTCCCCATGTCAGCTCTTGGGAAGGTGGCCAGGGGAGTCACATTCTATTGGTTTCTTGTATGCTTTGGTGATGCTTGGCACCTCCTTTGTCACTGGGATTCAGCATTTTGGTACATGCAAATCTATATTGGTAAGATCTTCATAATAAACCTTAGGTTGATTCCCCAAACCAGAAACTGTCTGAAACTTTTCCCATTAACCTCAGCAGTATAGGTAACAAAAATCTACGTTTACCAGGGAGGAAGTCAGGAAATTCCAGTGGTTAGAGGACATTCCAAGGGAGGATCAATGTCCTTGTGAGAAATCAGGACAATATTTTTAGTAGAGTGGTGAGGAGAAGCCCTTAGAGGATATACCCTTAAATCCAGGCTGTTATCCTGGGCATACAGACTACCCTTTCACCACCATGACTGAAGTCACCCGGAAAATTGGTAGTAATTACCTTAGTCAGCACTATTAGCAAAGAAAGTGGCAGAGTCAGCTACAATTACTAGTAGCAAAGACAATGATATCTGGGACATTTGAGGATAAAGGACAGTACCAAGTTAACAGTTAATAATTAGGATGAGCACATCACTTTGAGGATGTTTATGTGGCTTATAGGGACATTAAGACCTAGGTAACTACTTGAGAAGACCACAGCTATATTGTTTGTTGGTCCCTAGAAGAAATTCTGTAATGTAAACTTGCCATTGCTTCATCTATTGTGCCTTTAGCGGCAGGGAATCTTGGCTCCACTCTTAGAGTCACACATGTAAACATACATATTCCCCTCTATCTTGCATCTAGTAGTACCACTTAATATATCTTCTAATAGTTTGTAGGGAGAGACAGTGTTTCCTAGTAAGGGCTAAGTCTTGAGTCATAAGGCTATTCCAAAACAACTTAAGCTCCATCTTTGATAAGACAACTTATAGGAGGATTTCTATCACCTTAAGGGCATGTTTTGAGAGCCCCAGGTATAATAGTTCTCTCAGCACATAATAGTAACCATCCTTCCTCCCATGCTAACCACTCTGAAATAACTAAGACAAATGGTATACAGGCTTCAGGAGCAAGTGAAAAAATTTCAGACCTTGACTATTAGGGTAATTATTTCAGCAAGAGTAATCTATTCATATTATAAGTAAATACTAGCTCCAGCAACAACCCCATTACTGCATAAGTCTGCTGTACTGTCATATCTGTAAAGGCCCAGTAAAATAGTCACTGGCTTTGGCACAGTGTATAGACCAGTGGACTTAAAAGTCAAGAAGACCTGACTTTGAATCCCACCACTGATGGTCCCTAGCTATGTGACCCTGGGACAAGTCACATAATCTCAGGTTCCTCATTGGCAAAACAGAGATTCTAATAATTACAGCACCCAACTCAGAGAGTTACTGTGATGGTCAGATAAGACATTATACATAAAATGTTTTGCAAAGTTGAAGGTACTATATAAATGTCAGGCATTATTATTGACTATTATACTTTAAAGACAATCTCCTTCAACAACACTAGAGAGGAAATTTCAGAGAATTACCAGAAACCACTATACACAATTATGTCAGTGAAAGATAGAATTCAAAGGAAATTGACTACTATCCACCAAAAAAAAATACAAATTACCAAAACAAAAAATAACACCTTAATTCAAGCTCAGAAAAACAAAATTAAGCAAGTCATAAATGAATTGTCAAAGAAAACAGACCTGGGCCAGATGGGTCGACAAATGAATTCTATCAAACATTTACATTGTAATTAATAGCTATGTTACAGAAATTATTCTCAAAAAAAGAAACAGAAGGCACTCTATTCCTTTTATGAAACAAACACACCAAGAAACAGGGTCACTTACAGTCCTTTTAAGAGTGAAGAGTAAAAGCAAGCTCTTAGATGAGAAATAATGTTACCAGATTAAAGACATCAGACCAACTGAGTTATGGAGCTAGTTAGCAGATGCATGAAGAAACCCCAAGTACTAAATGAGACCATCTGTAGGTAGTAGATAAAATGCAGAAGGACAGAAACTATTGTGTTTACTCAGTTTGCTTAGTTGAGCCCTCTCTGTGGCAGAGAAGAATAACTTCAAATTTGCCAAGTATCTGGGCAACTTTCTTTATCTGTGTTTTGCTGTGTTGAAAGTCCAATTGTCAGACTGTGCTGTACATTAAGATTTCTGAGGTGTTGGGCACAGAGAACAGGAAAGTACTGGGTGATAATAATTGTGGTTCATCATAAGGTGTGTTAAAAATGTCTTTTGAGCCCTTCTCAAATCCCTCCCTCCCTCAGACATGTCTCTATCAGAGGTCACAAGGCCATGATAAAAGGAGGATAGGAAGTGGCTACATGGAAAATACTGAAGAGCAGGATATGTTGGGTTGTTGTTGTTGTTGTTTCCTGGACCCAAACTATTTACTGAACTTAATAAATCTGAGGCTGAATTTTGTAAGTCTCTTGGTACAGAAAAAGGAAGCCAAATCAAAGCAAAGAATATGCAGCAACAAGGCTTTGCACATCAGAGATCACAGAATCATAGAAATTAAGAGTGGGAAGTGGGACAGCTAGGTGGTGCAGTAGATAGAACTCCAGCCTTGGAGTCAGGAAGACATGGTTTCAAATCTGGCCTCAGACACATACCACTTACCAGCTGTGTGACCCTGGGCAAGTCACTTAACCTCGATTGCCTCATCAAAAAGAGTGGGAAAGGACTTCAGTGATCATCTAGTTCAACTAATAATAATAGGTCTGACTCTTCATGACTCCATTTGGGGTTTTCTTGGCAAAGATACTGACTGGAGTGGTTTGCCATTTCCTTTTTTCAGCTTATTTTTACAGATGAGAAAACTGAAGCAAACAGGGTGAAATGAGTTGCCTAGGGTCACACAGCTAGTAAGTGTCTGAGGACAGATATGAACTCATGAAGATGAGTCTTCCTTACTCCAGGCCTGTTACTCTATCCACTGAGCCACCTAGCTGCCCATGTTGACCCTAAATCATTAATAATTAGGCTTTAAAAAAAACATTTGTTTATTTTTAAAATTTTAAATAATTACTCTTTAACACTAGAAGGACTTTCAATTGATGCAAAATGTTATTTTAATATTACTTTGAAATAATTTTCATTCTGTATTTTATCTTATGATAAATAAAAAGAAAATACATTATATTAATTGATGTAATCTTAAATTCTAGTCTTTCTAGTGCTGTATGGCCATTCAAATGGTTCTGAATCCATCTGATTGTGTTATTGTCTTAACTGTGGTAATTTTTTTTTGTTGCAATTTTGTGTTTTTCAACAAAGTAATGAAAGGATGAAGCTTAATCTAAAAGCTTTGTATTAAAAATACCATCACACTTCCTCCCCTACAACATATACATTTATACACACACACACACACACACACACACATACACACATACATACATATATAAAATTATTCACTGGAAAAGTTCATGTCTATCTTTAAAATTACCATTTAAAAACTCTTTGGAATCAATAAAGTCAAAATGATAGGGTTACTTAAGACAGCAGAATAACAATACTAAGTTTCTAGGGTGATTATTGAATGTGGCATTGTATTGGCATGAGTGAAGACATGGCTCTAAAACAAATATAATTCTTTTCTGCATTACCAGTCTTTGAGCCCCCAAATCTAGGAAGAGAGCAAAAAAAGGCATAAGAATAATGCCTTTTGTTTTTGTCCTCGGAACAGGATTTTTACAGGGAGATGGAGAGGGTGGGGAAGAGCCCAATGTAAAAAGTACAATCAATGCAGTTCTCTAAGTTATGTTCTATTCAGTGCAACAAACTTAATTCAAAAACTATTTTTCAGCACTTCCTAAATACAGTCAAAGATACTAGAGAGAAAAAGATGAAAAATGACAAAGCTCTTGCTTTCAAAAGGCATACAATCTAATAAAGGAATTAAACATGTATAAATTCCATAATTCCTTCAGTGATTGTAGTATAAACAATTTTCAAGTGAAGAAATATAATTATCAACAACCATGTGAAAAATTTCTCCCCCCAAATCACTAATATTAAGAGCTACACAAATTAAAACTACCCTAAGGTTCTACCTCAGACCCATCAGACTGGCAAAGGTGAAAAAAAAAAGGAAAATGACCATTTTTCAAGAAGGTGTGGGAGGACAAGCACACTAATGCACTTTTGTTGGAGCTGTGGATTTGTAGAACCATTTTAAAAAGCAACTTGGAATTGTAGACCCGAAATCACTAAATTATATATATTATGTGGTACATATATCATGCCACTAGTTGGCATATAAGCCAAAGTCAACCCAGAGGAAGACCCCAATTGTAAACAAAGCCCATCAATTGGAGAATGACTGAACAAATTGTTGTACATGAATGTAATAAAACACTACTGCGCAATAAGAAATTACAACTTTAACAAATTCAGAGCAACCTGGGAAGACTTGTATGAATTGATGATGCAGTGTCAAATAAGCAGAACCAGGAGATCAGTTAGTTTACAAAATAATCCCAATAATGTAAAAGAAAACGACTTTGAGACAAAACTATGATAATCAAGTGACCAATCATAACTTCAGAAGACTGATAATTAATTATACCACTCACTTCTTGGCAGAAAAGTGATGGACTGGAAGTGAGGAAGCAAATATATATATATTTAGAGATGGCCAATATGTTGAATTATGGCGCTTGAATGTGCTTATTACAAATAGAAGGAAGACTGATATTTGGGGGTCAGGGAAGGATGAATTAGCAGGTAGTGCTAGAGATTAAAAAAAAAGTAGCATCAAAAAAAATTTTTAAGTACATAGTATAAAATAAAAAGCAGTTCAGAAAGAGATAAGAAATGAGCAATTTTGTTACAATATGTTAATTTAACATATACTTTAAAAATACCAAAAATGTATGAAATGAGAGACCTGACCAATGAAAGCCTAATCCTGGACAACAAGCATCAAATATTATGCTGGATGCAATCCCCTACGTGGCCTTTGGAGTAAGACTGTTTCCTGTCCACTAGGTTACTGAGCTGGAGCTAAGTATGCATTTGAAAGGAAACTAACAGACAAAGGGAGCCTTCCTTCCTCCTTGGATGAACTTGATTGAGGAGGACAAATTGCAGTGGGCTTCCAGGAAGTTAGAAGGAAGTCATGCATGCTCTATCTTAACTTGCCACTCACTTCAGAGAAGAGATATTAGACTGATGACCAAAGAGAAGGAGCTGTGCTCAATAAGGGAAGCAGAATTGAATTAGCTCAAAAGAAATTCGAGGTGCACAAATTTAGAGAAACTACACCAAATGTTCACAGGGACTATTTGTGCGCAACTGGTGGTGGAGCACTGCAAGCTTGTATTGGTCTGATCAGCCACAGTCGGACGCATTATAGTTTGACTCTAAGATAGTGATGTCCTCTTCAAGAATGAAGGACACACCAGTCTTACCTTGCCACTCACTTCAGTTTCCTGGGTTTTATACAAGCCAAGTCCTTCATCCAATAAGGGCAGACTTCCCGTCAGTGTCATTCCAGTACATCCGATGCCTTTCAAGGATTTTTTTTAACTTAGTCTAAAGACTTTTATTGATTGATTGACTTACTGACTGAGACTTATTCTCATGTGTTCAAGATACCAGGGCATCTTATCATTTACTTTAAGAGGGAGAATAATTAATTGTCTAGACTGACTCCTACCCTAACATATATAAAAGTTCATGAATCCACTTTAAATTCTCTGTTCTTCATATACTGAAATGTTCATATTAATTGGTAATTGTTAAGTATATGTAGAGCCTATATCAGATTGTACACTGTCTTGGGGAGGGAGGAGGAGAAAAATTTAAAACTCAAAAGCATATGGAAGTGATTGTTGAAAACTAAAAATAAATTAATAAAAAGAAACATGTTGGCAGACCGGTTAAAAAAAATAACTGTTTAAATGTGTTAAGTACATAGAAGACCAAAGAGAGAGATGAAATTGGGAAGCATAGGAGCACTTCTGTTGGAGTAAATAGCAAAATCTTCATGGAGAAGATGACACCTGAGTTGAGTGTCTTTGTAGCACTCACCAAGACCCTTCAGGTTCTACTCCTGAGTCACCAGGCTTTTCTCACTATGCTACAGCAGTCTTCTTACCATATAAATTCACTCTTTCCCTCACATCCTCACCCTGAAAATTCACTCCACTCCTTCAATCCCTTCTTCTGCTTAGTTGTTTCTTCCCAGAACCTTCATTTAAAGGAAAGTGTCCAGGCCAGCCATGTCTTCATTCCTTTCCAGCCTCTTCTCTTGACTCCCAGGATTCTCTTTAAAATGTCTTTGCCCATTTTCTGTTTCCTTTCGAACTGCTTTTTGTTTTATACTATGTACTTTCAAAGTGCTTTATTGATGCTTTTATTTTCCATGTCTAGCACTCCCTGCTAGCTTACCCTTCCCTGTTCCCCAAACAGAAGGCTCCCTTTGTAACAAATAAGCACAACCAAGCACCAAAATTCAACGTATTGGCCAAGTCCAATTCTTACCTTCTCCCTTTCAGCTTCCTTTTATGTGTATTGTCTTCCCTAATTAGAACATAAGCTACCTGAGGGCAGAGACTGTCTTTCCTTTGACTTGTTTTTGTATTCCCAGCACCTAGCAGTGTCTGGTACAAAGTAAGTGCTTAATAATGCTTGCTGAAAATTGTTGAAGCAAGCAATGGACAAACTACCATCAGTTCTGCTACAACTCAACATATTCATTCCTAAAAATCACCATCTCTGCAAAATCTTGCAACAGAAACCTCAGGGCTTATGGTAAAAATGGGATTGGGGAGCAATACTCAAAAATTTAATCAGTGAGATATAAAAAGACAGAAACCTAATAAAAATAATAGCATAGTGTTATACATGTTAAACTTAAATACTGCAATAGATACTGGCAAACAAGGATGGTACAACATAGGCAAGATTAATAAACACATAGGTAGAGGGGCACAGTGACTAAGTTATGACTAGAACTCATTCTGGGAATAAGTATTGAAAGTTGGATAGCCATTTTTCACACTGTTGTGCCAAAAGGCAGAAATGTTTCCCAGGGGAAAGTCAATTTTTTGTCATCCTTTAGTGTAGCACTATCTAGCGTTCCCATACCCCTGTGCAGTGTTGTCAAGCTCTCTTGAAGAACACCCAATTAAGATAAGCATAGGCTGGATTCCACACGTGTTAACTGTTGAAAAATAATGTTAATATCATACCTGGTTATTTCTTCTTTAAGTTCACAGGGATCTTCAGCATAGAATTTGATGCCAAAATAAAAAGTATATGGAGGGCCAGCTAAAAGAAAAAAAAAGGAGTCAACACTATTTAAAAAATAAAACTGAATATGTGTATAGTTTTGTTTTTCTTATGTAGTACCTTATAAAGCTTTCCATACATATGTCATTACAATCTACTTATGATTTTTCAGAAACCTGGTCCTACCCAATATTCATATTATTTGTTTACTAATTTCTATATAATCTGGTCAAGTGTTTTAAAAGCTTTATCATTTTTTTTAAGCATTATGAACCAATAAAAAAAAACATGATATAAGTAGGATTTTTAAAAAATCCCTCACAGTTTTAATAAAATTTGCAAGAAAATAATTCTTACATTATTTAACTGTCACAAGAAAGTCCAAGAATAAAATTCCAGGGGCAGCTAGGGCACAGTGGATAAAGTTCTGGCCTTGGAGTCAGGAAGACCTGAGTTCAAATCTGGCCTCAGACACTTGACACTTACTAGCTGTGTGACCCTGGGCAAGTCACTTAACCCCAATTGCCTCGCCAAAAAACAGCCAAAAAAAAAAAAATAAAATTCCAATCACAGTCATGTAAAACATACAGATAGTACTTCTGGTCCACGAATGGGTAGAATAAAACAAAGATGAGACAGACAGAAAAGGAGAGAAGCTAGAGACTGGATTTAGCACAGGCAGGGTGAAGAATGGCAAATTTCTAATGTAGATTAGAAGAACCTATTTATTATATAGGCAATGAGGGACATGATATTCATCTGATAGAATGATTGTAATCTGAAGATTTTCCTGAATATTAATGTTATATTTTTTCAGAGAGCAATTAGAATCACCTGAAGGACATGCAATGCTATACTATAATTGCATAATTTATTTTAAAATTCAATCATGACTGAGTTTACTTAAATACCAATCAAAGTTTGCTTGTTCAAATAAATTAATAAAAATGAAGTACTCATCTAAGCAAAAATGTTTTCATTACAGATTACTTTAAAAATAATTTTTATTACTCTTTTTTATTCTTGTAACGCCTACATTTCCTACTATATCCTCCCTCTCTCATAAATCCATCCCTTATAAGAATGATTTTTAAAAATTAGGAAGAAAAAAAAGTATCAGAAAAGTAATTAATACATCAGAACAGTCTAATGTTAAATGCAGTATTCTATACCCAATTATGCACTTCAATTATGTGAAGAAATATAGAGGGAAAGATCTTTTCTCTAGGACTAAGCTTGGTCATTATAATTTCACAGCATTCATTTTCAACTGTTTTCATGGCACATTTTATTTTTCTAGTTGTGCTTACTTTCCTTCCTATCAGTTTATGCTTGTCTTCCCAAGTTTCTCTGTATTTACCATGTTCATCTTTTTTTTTTTTACTGTGCAATAATAATCCCTTACATTTATATACCAAAATTTGTTTAGCTATTCCTAATAAATGAGCAGTTTACTTTGGTTCCAGTTCTTCACTAACACGCTTATACACAGAGTTACTATAAATATTGTGGTGCATATCAGACATTTTTTTTTATTTTGTCATTTATCTCTTTGGGGTACCTACCTAGAAACAGGATCTTTGAATCAAAGTTTACGGACCTTTTGAAAGTCTTTGCACAATTTTAATCTGCTTTCTGGAATGGCTGGAACAATTTACAGTTCCACAAACAACACATTAGTGTGCCTGTTTTTCCACAACCTCTGCAACCATAAATATTTTCCTTTTTTTTTTTTTAAACCCTTGCCAATTTTATTGGGTGTGATGTGAAACTTCAGAGATATTCCGACTTTCTCTTATTGGTGTTGTGGGACATACGGTTGTTACAGGTTTTCCATTCTTCTTTTGAGAATTATTTGTTTATTTCTTTTGACCATTGGGGCAAATAGCTTTTAGTCATACTTATTAATTGCCTATATATCTGGGATATCAGACCCTTATCAGAGGCAGTAGAAAGAAAATTTTTCCTAGCTGACTACTTTGCTTTTTATCCTACTTATATTAGTGTGGTTCATGCAAACAAGTTTCTACTTTTGTGCTATCAAAATTATCAATTTTATCTTTTGTGATTGCCTTATCCCTTGTTTGGTTAAGAATTTGCTCCTACCCACTTGACCTTTAATTTTGAGGTCGTGTGTCCATCTTAAATTTATTGTAAGATATTAATATAAACCTAATTTCTTCCATTTTTTTCCCCAGTAGTTCTCATCAAAGAGAAAGTTCTTTCCAAGACAATTCACATTTTGGTGTTTACTGAACATTGAGCTGAATTATTTTAGATTCTTCCTTATCTAATATGTTCCATTAATCTAATTTTCTGTTTTTAACAGATACCAAATTTGAAGGTTTTCATGATTGCTGCTTCATAATATAGTTTGAGATCTGGAAATACTTCTCCCCTTTATTCTTTTTTCTTTATTTTAAAGAACTCATTCTTTTTTTTTTTTTAATTTTTAGGCAATTGGGGTTAAGTGACTTGCCCAGGGTCACACAACTAGTAAGTATCAAGTGTTTGGTCTGAGGCCAGATTTGAACTCAGGTCCTCCTGACTTCAGGGCTGGTGCTCTATCCACTGCGCCACCTAGCTGCCCCCCCCCTTTATTCTTGCCTTTATATTCTAGATCTTTTGTTTCTCCAAATTAATTTAGATATTATTTTGTCTAGCTTGCGAGGTTGACTGGTATATCATTTATCTATAAAATAATTTTGATAGTATTGTTAATTTTATAATATTAGTAAGTCTTAATCATGAGCGCTGATTATTCCTGAAATGATTTAAGTTGGTCTTTATTTCTCTAAGGAATGTTTTATAATTGTATCTATATGACAGATATTGAGTATTCTCTGGTAGATTGACTCCCAAATATTTTATGCATTTTGTAGTTATTATGAATTGAATTTCTACTTCTATATTTATCTCCTTGATTTTGTTATTACTATATAAAAATGATGCTATTTCTTTGGGTTTATTTTGCAATTTGCAACTTTGCTGAAGCCATCATCTTAATTAGCTTTTTTGCTGATTACCTAAGACACATTAAGAAAATAATCATGTCATCAACAAATAGGGAAAGTTTTGTCTTGTTATTGCTTATCTTCATACTTTTAAATTCTTTCCCTTGTCTAATTGCTATTATTGTCTTGTCTAGAACTCTATTAAATAGTAGTTCCTCTATTTACTGGGAAAGCTTCTGGCATTTCCCCAACCGAATATAATGCTAGCTTTTGATATTAGATATTTTATCACATTAGAAAAATATTACTATGCCAGAATTTTTTTTAAAAATAAATTTTAATGATATATTTTGTTTTTACATCATCAAAATTTCTCTTAGTAACTCTTTCTCCAACTAGAAAACTATTCCATATAAAAAATAATACATTTAAAAGAAATAGAAGAAAAAAATTATCAAAACAAAAAAAGTCTGAAGATATACACAATTGCTCCACAGTTATGCACCTCTTACCTCTGAAACAGTGTGGGGTGAAGGTATATTCTTATATTTCTTCTTTGGATCTCATTCTTGTTCTTTGTATTTTTTGCAATAATCACTTTTAATTGTTTTATGGTGGTTATACTTTTCATTTGCATGGTTGTAGTCATTGTGTATATTGTTTTCTTATGTCTCCTTACTTCGCTCTGCATCAGTTCATAAAGATCTTTTTGTACTTCTATGTATTCATCATATTCATGATTTCTTACAGCACAGTAGTATTCCATCACATTCATATACCACAATTTGTTCAGCCATTCCTCAAGCAATAGGCATCTACTTTGTTTCCAGTTCTTTGCTATTATAAAAAGTACTGCTCTAAACATTTTGGTGTATATGGGGAATTTATTATCAACGGTCTCCTTAGGGTATATATTTAGCAATGATGTTTCTCAAAGAGCATTATGCGCATAATTCTGATAATTCTTTTGATTATTCTGGGCTTGTTCTGAATTCATCTTGGTCATTTAAAATTTTGTTAATTCCATTTCCCATTCTTTTCTGGTTGTCTGTAAGTCAACTAACTCATTTTTTGTAATTCAATTTTCTTAGTAGGTTCCAAGAATCATCTTTTCATTTTGATTAACAGCTCTCAAAGTCTTTTTGGCTTCATATTTATTAATTTCTCTTGTACTTTTCAATTATTCCTCTTGTACTCATTTTGGGGCAGCTAGGTGGCACAATGGATAGAACACTGAGCCTAGAGTCAGGAAGACCTAATTTTAAATTTGGCCTCAGACATTTCCTAGCTTGTGTGATCCTGGGCAAGTCACTTAACCTGTGTTTCCCTCAGTTAACTCATTCTTAAAATGGGGATAATAATAGTCCCAGGGTTTTTGGGGAGGGCCTAATGAGATAACAATTGTAAAGCACTTAGCAAAGTGCCTAGCACTATATAAATGTTAGCTTTTATTGTTGTTGTTACTATTGTCATTATTATTATTTGTTGACTTTCCAATTTTTAAGAATGTATATTTAATTCATTAACTTTCTTTTTCTATATTATTGGTGAATATTTCTAAGGATATACTTTTTCTTCTGAGAACTGTTTTGGCTACATTTCAGAAATTTTGATGTGTTGTCTTACAACTGATACTATTTTCCACATAGGTGTAGTTTCAATGATTATTCTTTGACCCACTCATTTAGACTTTCAGTACTAAGTCTTGATTTAAGTGCCCATCTTTTTCTGCTCTCTGAATTGATTACTATTTTTATCATATTGCAGTTTTAAAAGAATGTATGTGTCTGTTTGTTTACATTTATGTGTAATTTTCCCTTGCCATTATACAAGGTTTTATTTTTTAAAAAATATTTGTTGTATGGTACTGAGAAATGTGTATATTCTTAGTGGTACCATTCAGAAGGTGTCATTGATCTTTTACCTCTCATTCTCTAAATTTCTAAAATTCTCTAAAATTTGTGAGGGTTTTTTTTTGCCCAATCTACCAGTTTTTTGTTTTATTGAACTGTTTTATCTTTTACATTTAAAGTTATGATAGTATGAACTGATGCAGAGTGAAGTAAGCAGAGCCATGAAAACAATATACACAGTAATTAGAATAATGTAAATGGAAAGAACAACACCAAAAAATAAATGTGGCAAAATCATAAAGATCAAATAGGACTTGAATTAAGACACATTAGAAGACACTCCCAACCCACCTCTCACTGGAGGTGAAAGGTCCACAGGTACTGCACATTGTACTTGTGCTTTTTCTAAGAAAATTGTATTTGCTTTATTTACTCTTCCCTTCTGTATTTTGGATTTATGTTTTAATCCTTATTTATTTCTCCTTGAATCTCTTTGTGATCCCTTCTTCCCATCCTGGATTATCTCAGAACCCATTAAGGATGGCTGGGCAAGGGGCAGCTAGGTGGCGCAGTGAATAGAGCTCTGGCCTTGGAGTCAGAAGGACTTGAGATCAAATCCAGCCTCAGACACTTAACACTTACTAGCTGTGTGACCTTGGGCAAGTCACTTAACACCGATTGCCTCACCAAAAAGCAAAAAAACCCAAAAAACCAAAAATGGCTGGGCAGCTGAAAGACTCATCACTACTTGATGCCACTTTACCTTTTTCTCCTCCTTCCTTTGAGATATTTACCTGGCTCAGATATGATAGGAGTCATCAATTCTATTCTTTCTGGTGTGATGGAGGAATACTATAGACCTTACCATCTGCCCTCCCACTGCCTGCTACAGTCCTCTAATTCTTATCATCTATTTTGGCTCAATGCCTTACAGACCCCTGCCACTGTCATCTGACCTAGTGATATAACTGAAGGACCTCTGAGTCTTGCTATCTATCTATCCTTAGGATTCCTGGGCTTTCCTCTGAAACTGAACTTTGTTTTATGTGTTGTCTCGCACCATTTGAGTGTGAGCTCCTTGAAAGAAGGATGGTCTAATATAGAGCTGAGCATGGTGCTTAGCACATAGAAAGCACTTTAAAATGCTTTCTCATTCATTCATTTATTTGTCTTGTTGGTCACATGACCTGGAACCACTTTAAACCCCAGAGGTTCTCAACCTTTGGTGATCTGATGAAGCCTAAGGACCTCTTCTCGCAATAATGTTTTTAAATTCATAAACTAAAATACACAGGATTATAATAGAAAGTAATTATACTGAAATACATTTTTCAAATCAAAACAATCAAAACATTTTTAAAAATCAAGTTAACAGATTCCAAGTTAAAACTCCTGATATGGACTACTGATATAAAAAATGAGATCAGTCCATTGAGATCCCCTCCCATAAACACACATATACATGCATGCACATACACATATACATACAATATGTTATTGTATTCCTCCTTTAAAAATCTAGATGACACAGAAAATATCATTAGACATAATCTTAGTTACCTGCTGACTCATAATATTATTTGTATAATTTTTTTCAAATATTCAAAATGAGTATACTAGCTATTCTCAGAAGGAAGTTGAATACTCTTTTATAATGTATGATCTCATCTAAGTTAAAAAGGGAACCACTTAATAAATTGCTATCTCAGAGATCAGACTGGCATCTTATTGATATGAAAGAGGAATGGTTCTTAATTTATGCTCTAGGGAAATCAAGCTCATTAGAATTCAAATGACAAATAATCTTTTTTTTTTCCTTTTAACATATAGATTCAGGCTCTCTGACTCTTTAATTTGAAAGCAAAATTTAAAATTTAGGCAGCTAGAAAAGGCACTTCTATGTTACCAGGCCAAAAAATCCCACCAACAATATAACCCATTTTATCCAAAGGGATAGCACAGCTCACTGTATGAAAGTATTTATTCATTTCAAAAAGTTATCATCTACTATCACAACCTATATCATTATTTTGGATACCATATAATTTTTAAATCATACTTGGATAAACTGAAAATTAAATACATACTGTTTATCAGTTCTTTGTGTTCTGCAAGGGTTTTTGCAGGATCCAGCCAGTACTGTGTGAGAAAGAAAAAAGGTAGTTCAATAAATCAGTTGCTTAGCATGTCACAAAAATATATACATTAGCTCTTTTGTTACTTGTATTAGGAGTTATATCAGATTAGATCAATCCAAATGAACTGAACTGAATCCAAACTCAGCATTTCTTATCTCCAAACAGCTATTAAGTAGAAAGGCACTATGTTAGAAACGTTCTCTGCCCAGAATTAATCAATCACCAATTCACTTTTCTAAACAGGACACATACATTGTAGGTTACAGGAATATGAAAACAAAAAAAAAATGGTCCCTGAAAGAGTTTACATTCTAGTGGGGTAAATACAACTCAACAAATATTTACTAAGCAATTGCCAAGTTGTTGAGCGCTGTATTAGACGCTCAGGAAGTACAATATTTAGCTAACACAAGGTTCATGCCTTCATGGAGGTTACAGTCTAAAAGGTCATGTCACCCCACCATCCTAGCCTCCAGACTACCATTTTTGAGGGGAGTGACTCCTCACTACCCCCCACCACAAACTGCTGACCAGTGGCATAGGCAAGTCAGCCTAACTAAAACAGTAAGGTACTCTAAAAGAGACATGAGGTGTCATTTGCCAAGTGGGTCAAACAACCACCACCACTTTGATCACTACCACCTTCCCTCAGACCTATATGAAGACAGCAGAGGACCCCGATCCCAAGAACATTAGGAATAACAGTTCCACCCACCCAACCCTGAAGATAAGCAGCCTAGCTTCTAGCCAGACCCCTGAAGCTAGAGGAACAGTCTGTGTAGAGATGTGACTTGGCAACTACTTCTTCAGGTTTTGGAGGCCTGGCCTTCTCAGCAGCCACAGCTACTGAAAAACCAGGAAATAAAGTTCTCATTACCAAAATCTGGCATTGTCAAATGGTTCAGATACAGAGATATGGTTTTATCAATGGAAATTACACTAAAGAAGACATATTACCTTGTGCTTTGCCACTGAACCCTAATGACCACTGGGCTTTTCCATTTGACTTGCAACTGAAACCTCTTACGCATGGTGTTTCCCCATTAGAAAAAAGTTCCTTGAGAGGAGGGGCTTTCTCTTCTATTTATATTCTCAGAGTTAATTAGGACAAATGATCTAGAAAAAGTCCTACTCTGATGCCTCATCACAGCACAGAAGTGACCAAGGGCTCTTACAGACTATACTAGCCAATGGAGGACTTCTAGGAACCAAGATGGTGAAGTAAGCAGGAAATCGCCTGAATACTTCCATATTTACCTACAAACAACTAGAAAATAGGGCCTCAGAATGAATTCTGGGCCAAAAGAATCAACAAAAAGAAGGGGTGAAACAATTTTTTAACTCAGGCCAACTTGGAAGGTCTGCAGGAAAGGTCTATCTCACTTGGCTAAAAGGGGAGCACAGTCCAGGGCAGGCAGTGTCCTGGCAAGCCAGTGGCAGGCCTTGTCTCAGCAAGCCAGCAGGAGACCCTGAGCTGCAGGGCAGGTCAATGACTGAGGCCCTGTAGCCCCATTGCTGCAGCTGGTGAGTGGCTGGTGCCTTGCCCCCTCCCCCAACTCCAGTCCCAGAGCAATACCAGGTCCCCACTTCTTAGAGACAGATAAACTATCATTCTGGTTAACCTTGTAGGATTCTTGTTTTTCACTTAGTAGCTTCTGAATTTCCACATCATTTTCATCAAACCAATCCTGATATTGGCTAGTGTTCTGGCCAAGATGAGTAAATGCAGTGGTATATACTAAATCTCCAAAAGCTGCCCACTCCTTTTCTGCTCCACTATACACAAAATGGAAGAGCATAGAACATATCACCTATCAGATTTAAGGGTAAAAGGATTTATGAATAAAAAAGAGATAGCATTGTGGGATGTAAAATGAATACTTTTTATTACATTAAATTAAAAACATTTTGTACAAATAAAACCAATGTAGCTAAGACTAGAGAAAAGCAGAAAAATTGGGAAAATTGTTATAGACAGTTTCTCAGATAAAGGTCTCATATCTCAAATATACCGAGTCAAATTTACAAAAATATAAATCATTCCCCAGTTGATAAATGTCAAAGGATATGAATAGGCAGTTTTTTGAAGAAGAAATCAAAGCTATGTATGTGTATATATATATATATATACACATATATATACATATATATGTATATATATGTATATATATATATACATACACACACACACACACACACACACACACATATATATGTGAAAAAGTGTTCTAAATCATTATTGATTAGAGAAATACAAATTTAAACAACTTTGAGGTACCATCTCATACCTATCAGGTTGGTTAAAATGATAGAAGGGGAAAATGATAGGTGTTGAAGGGGACATAGAAAAAATGGGACACTAATTCATTGTTGGTGGAACTGGGAACTGATCTAACCATTTTGAAGAACAATCTGAAATTATGCCCAAAGAGCTGAAAAAAAAAGTGGTAGATTGGAAAAAAATACAAAACCTCACAATTTTTAGAGAACTGAGAGCTAAAAGATTTATGCCACTTTCTGAATGATACCACTAAGAATATATACATTTCTCAATAACATAGAGCATATATTTAAAAACAAAAAATAAACAAAAAAAAGTTTTATATAATAGCAGAGGAAAACTGCATGTAAATATAAGCAATCAGAAATACACATTCTTTAAAAACCACAATATAATATAGTAATCAATTTAGGGAGCAGAAAAAGAAGGGCACTTTTTATGGTGGCAAAGAATTAGAAATTGCAGGGAAGCCCATCAATTGGGGAATGGCTGAATAAGTTGTGGTATATAATTGTAATGGAATACTATGGTGCTATAAGAAATGATAAGCAGGTTGATTTTATGTTATTTCTTAAATAGTATTTTATTTTTTCCAATTACATGTAAAGACAATTTTTAACATTCATTTAAAAAATTTGAGTTCCAAATTTTTTCCCTTCTTCCTTTTCTTTCCCCCATCCCTAAGAAGGTAAGAATTTTAAATCTATATTTAAATATTTATATTGTTATATTTTATTTATTTATTTTATTATATATTAAATTTATATTTTAAATATATGTGCAATCAGGTAAAACATATTTCCATATTAGTCAAGTTGTGAAAGAAGAAATAGATCAAAAGGAAAAAACCATGAAAAAGATAAAGAAAGTGAAAATGATATGCTTCAACTCCATTAGTTCTTTCTCTGAATATGGATAGCATTTTCCATTGTAAGTCTTTTGGAACTGTCTTGGATCGTTGTATTGCTGAGAAGAGCTAAGTCATTCATAGCTGATTGTTGTACAATGTTGCTGTTACAATGTACAATGTTCTATTGGTTCTGCTTACTTTATTTTGCATCAGTTCATGTCATTCTTTCCAGGTTTTTCTGAAATCTGCTGAGCAGGTTGATTTTTAGAAAAACATGAAAAAGCTTCCATGAAATAATGCAGAGTGAAATAAGCAGAATCAAGAGAACACTGTATATAGTAACAGCAATATTGTTTGAACAATAACCGTGAATGACTAAGCTATTCTGAGTAATATGAACATTCGAAAATGCTATTCACCTGAAAAAAATTAATATATGGAATTATGTATCAAATATTGGCCTTCTCTAATGTAGGGTTAGAGGGAGAGGGAGACAACTTGAAACTGCAAAGTAACAAAATAAAATAAAAATAAGATTAAAAATATCTTGGGGGGAGGAAATAAAGCGAGGAATTACTATTTTAGGGTAAGAAGACAGAAAGTCATTGGTATAAACTGCTAAACATAGTTATGTAAAATCATAAGAGTAACAAAATTTTACTTTTTTTAAAATAGGAAGAAAATAAGCCAAAGCTAATCCAAGGCTTATGAATAGGAACCACAGGGTTTTGTAAGCCACCACCTTGCAATTTAAATAATGCTTTTATGTTCAATAAGGGATAGGCTTCTTGTCACCTTTTAGTATCAGCAAAGTCAAATGTTGCTATAGTTTATCTTATCAGTTAAAATACATTCTGCTCTTTAACAACAAATAAGAGATTCTATTGTTTACTTTCAGAAGCTGCTTTTTACCCTCCAAATACTATGGCCAGATTTAGATATAGCACAGGGGAATGTGGGCTTTGGCTCTAATGCCAACATGATCCTCCTTCCACCAACTCTTCTCAGTGAGTGTAGCAACCTTCTCCCAGGGCCTACCCTCTCAATGGGGCAGACTGCCACCTGTCCTGGGGGCCCACACTATGCAGGAGAATCTAGACGAACAGATAATGAATATCATCAGCTGAGGGACAGGTGCTGGCCTCCAACACTACCCCTTCCTCCCAAAATAAAAAAATGACTAAAATGTCCATTACCTTTGAACCAGAGACTCTATTATTAGGCTTATACCCAGTCGTCTTATGCTTTACCTCCCTCCACCCCCAACATTTATTTTTCGGTCTAGTGAGACTGGATTTTTGGATGTTCCACAAACAAGAAAATACATTTCTAGGCATTTTCTCTGGCTGTCCTCCATTCCTACAACACTCTCCCCACTCTACCCCCTGACCTCTCTGGCTTCCTTTAAATCTCAACTAAAATACCACCTTCTACAAGAAGTCTTCCCTAACACCTCTTAATTCCAGTATTTTTCTCTCTTTTAATTACTTTCTATTAATCTTTGCTTCTGCCCATAGTAGGATTATTCTTTCCTGTTCTTTGGTGAAGGAGAACTGGAGATGGAACCAATTTGTGGTTGAAACAGGCTGAAAGACCCAGTAGTGTTTGCCAGCTGTTGGGGCCACCACAACCCTGATCAGCCAAGTCAGCAGAATGAACTGACCTAGTGGCAAGACTTTGTGACCTGTAAGTCTGACACTGACTATGTCCATTGATAGCTACAGGTGCCTACAAACTCTGCTGATTCTCCCAGTCTTTCAAAACTCATGAGTTCATTCCATTTCCAATTCTCTTTCATCTAAGAACAGGAATATATACCTTAGGGGACTTATTTTCATCTCCTACTCAAAATTCAGGTTCCCAATAATTA